ACGGTAGCTAATTAAGATAATGGCTAAAGGGATTCGATTGACCGTTTTAATACCCAAGCATTCCCCATAAATGTTTGCACATATTCTGCTATCGCAACACTGTTGAGAAACATGAACAGATTGTTGGCTGCCGTGCTCCAGTTGCAACACGTGACTTACAGGAAACGCATTCGGAACGTCGACATTAGTGAAACCTTGAACTTGAAACAAAAACAAATCTCTGTTGTAGGTTTAAACACAAAATAAACGATAGCCATTCCTCTAAAATGGTGTTAAGGACGCCACAAACATTAGCTTTTTACTGCTTGACGAACTGTGAATTTCATTTTGGCTCAGGCTTTATCACAATAACTTGGCTAGCTAACTGGATAGCATTAGCTTTGATTATGGATAGCCGGGGCTCTCTCACAGACACGCCGTGCCCTCGAAAATCGAAAACGTGCACTGCAGTGTTAGTTATATAATAAACAAAATGTGTTTTGTGACTTTCATGCCGTTACTGAGGTGTTTTGCAGCTAATTGCCTTGCCATATAGAACATGGCGTGACTTCTGACCCACGCACTGTCTGTCTGTCGTGGTAAAACCGAAACACCGCCTCCCTCCCACCTTCGTCCGCCAATAACAGCGAGCTAGTAAAGCTAGCTGAGGCTTTCGTGAACCGTATAGGCCTTGGTCCCAAACCGGCTGGAAAATATGGAGCACTAACAGTAGTCTGTGTCGACAGTTTACCGTAAGAGAAAGAAATTCAGATAGCGAAGATTATTAATCTGAGGTCTGCTGTTTGCTTCCGAAGCGCGAGCGGTGTCTTGTGTAACTAAGTGAACGCCATGGTAACGGCGAAACGTAACAATACAGATGGAACGCTGGGGCAGTAGTGACGCGCCGCCGCGCTAGACAACTACCAGCGAACAAGGGACTGTACAGTTCACACATGTAAACCCTCCGTCTCTCCCACGTCTCTTCTCGAGCTCCAGCCCAATTAGCGCCGCGTTTTAAACATCTCCGCACAAGAGCTGGAGAAGACCCGAATAGGAGGGGCTCGAAAATTTAAAATTCGCCGGCGTGCGGTTGGCCGAGGAAACGTTGGCCCCACTCTCGCCATCAAAAACTCACCGCGCAAACCGGTGCTCAGTTCACACGCACGGAATCAGCCACACAACGGCAAGCACGGTCCAAAGAGCAAACAGGTCAAACGTGCAGCACGTTAAAGTGAAATAAGGCGCCTACCTGTAATTTTATTAATAAGATTTAGTTGTGTTCGTCCATTCTAATATCCAGAGAGCGTCCGGCGGTGAACAATGACGTAGTTACCCCACGGGTCCATCCGGGTAATTGAGATTACAACCAACCAGCAGCGGCTCTGAAGAAGCCGACATGGCGGAGTCGGGTCTGCAGGCACGTCCGCAAACATGTCTGCGTTTAGGTGGTACATGCTTTAGTTTAGATAGTTTCAGTCCATAAAGCGCTCGCATCTGAGAGGTCTTTATTATTTACCCCACAGGTCAATGGATACGTTCCTTTGAAGAAGCGCTTTAATGTGAGAGTGTTCTTAGTTTTTTTAGTACTGTAGAGTCTGCGATCCGGAGGAGTTGTTGCTGCAAAGTTAGACCTCACGGTTTGTGAACGAGCCGGTGTGCACATTTGAATCTCAGAGGAAACTTTTGCGTACGTACATATATATATATATATATAGCTTGCCAGCCAGAACACATTACAGAAAACAACTCCAGACTTTTGTGTAAACCTGTTGTTTCTGTTTTTATCCGTTCTTTAAATTGTTTTGTGTTCCTATATTCCTGAAAACATTTTCTTATTAAAGTTTATAACATATTCTTTTGAAATTCAATGCGTGGTATTCTTAGTTTTTGAAGTATATCTCGCATCACAGAAATGATGAATGGGTGTTGAATTGATTTTTCCAGTTCCGAGCAATTGTATTTACATGGTTTCAGGCCGATACTCAATGCCAAGCACTTAGTATTAAAAATTATACACAAAATGTTATATATATATATATATATATATATATATATATATATATGAAAAGAGTAAGATTATGCATTAGACAGGAAGTTTACTATAAAAACCAGCTGTAACCTGTTCTCGTTTTTTTTTTCATGTAACGTACCCAAACTACATGTATATGTTACATATTACGTTTCCTGCTTTAGAAACAAGTGACATTGTTTCAGATAACTACAATGTAAGAATTTCTACTGTTTACCATAAAAAACCCACAACATCATCACCCAGGACACAGTAGATATGTAACTGCTGTTCATGCTTTTAACCACTGTCACAAAGGTAAACGGTTTCAAATGAATTTAACAATATAAAGGTAAGCTTCACTGCTTCAGAAATGCTTTGTTTGCTACATTATACCACTAATAAACCATAGTAAACAATAAACTGCAGTAACTTGGGAGTACTCGAGGTAAGGCACACTTTGTTCAGTACATATGGTCATGGTTAGCTAGCTATCCCTGCAAACATGCCTATGTGTATGTGTGCCCATGGAGAGCTATGTTTACAGGCACATTGAAAGAGTACAAAAGAGGCTGTGTGTCGGATGCCCCATATAAAAGGGGCTAAGTGTCAGTTGTCTGCAAATAATGTGAAATTATGGAAACATGGAGGTGATACTTGTGGGCCCCAATGTTAAAGCCCCATGGTGGCAGCCCACCTTACAGTCTAATATGAGGTCTGTGTGTGGGCTTTCCCAAAGTGGGCTCCAGTTGTGAAACCATGGGCACGTGCGGGGCCACACATTAAAGCCCCAAGCTGTCATCATGGGGCATTATTAGTTGGGCCCTAGTCAGTCATGAAACCGGGGCATAAAACCTAACATGGGGGCCTGCACGTGCCCCAGGTTTCACGACTTACTAGGGACTAACTACGGGCAGTCCACGTGCCTAATTTGTAGCCCACAATGGCCCCACACTGGATCCACAAGGGCTTGTTTGCTGGGTAGCATTAGCTTTCATTACAAATAGCTGAGTTTATTTCTCGGAAATCAATAAATTACCGTGCAAGGTTAATTATATAGTGAACAAAATGTGTTTGACGCCACTTTTAATGTCACTAATGTGTTTCACAGATTACCTTAACATGCAGAATATCATGCAACTTCTGAAACGTAATGGTACAAAGTGAACGCCACCAATCGTTTTCCTATTGAAAGCCTGCCATACATGCAGGTATTTAAAACAGAACCCCGTGGTAACGGGAAGACGTGTTATGTATTTGCGCCCTCATGGCTGTTCACATTGATGGACACAGGAGGGCGCTAATTCCCTTGCATTACTTAATACCGTGGTTCTCTGCCAATAAAGCTGAAGTAGGACAAGTAGTCCAGCCCCTGCATTGCGCTCTCGTTGGAGATATCCCTAAACTTTTAGTGGTACGTTGTCTTTTGACCGGTGGTAAATTAACAGATGTAGCACAAACAATATTTGTTAAGAAAAAGCTTCACTGCTGCATAAATAACACTGTTATGTAGTAAGCAGCAATATGTAGTACAGTGTACAGATAAAACGCTGAGGCCAATGACTGCATATTGGTTTGGGTGCACAGGCTGCGAATAGGCAATATGTAAACCACTGACATGTAGCTATCAGAGGAGGGGACCCAGTACATTTAACAAGCCAGAATATGGAGAAGCAACTGCCTCGTTTGAAAACAGCTGTGTATACGATACATAAACCTTAAAGGGTTTCTATACACTATAAAAAATAACACTGGAAATAGCATATCAGGATTCAAGACATGCCACGAGGGTCTCCCACTTACCATACTTTAGAAACCCGACGTCGTTTCAAATGTAAATAGCTGTACAGCATTCCCCAGGACACAGTAGGTTTATAAATGCTCTTCCTGCCTTTTACCGCCAAGCGTCATGAATATGAAATGGTTTGAACTGAACCCTTTTCGAGATACAATATAAAGTAGTGTGCCTGCTTTAAAAAATGCTTCGCTTTGCCATTACAACACCACACCACTAACGAACCACAGTGGCTAACTAATAAACTGCGGTAACCGGGAGGACTCTGGAGTAAAGTGGTTAGCGAGCTAGCATTAACCTAGCTTTTTCTCGAATGGCGTTTGGGGTTTCTCTCTCGGAAATCGACAAAATATGCTGCAATGTTAATTTTAAAAAGAACAAAAGTGTTTGACGACAATTTTAAATTTGTTACTGCAGTGTTTCACAGATTTTCTTACCATACAGAATATTCTGTGGATTCTAACGTTGTGGTTGAACTGAATCGCCAATCGTTTTCGTGCCGAAAGTCTGCCGAACAGGTAGGGTTTTAAAACAAAACTCCAGGGTAACGGCAGACGTAGCAACTCAGACGGAACGCTGGGGTTATAGTGACGCGCATAGTTGATAGTGACGCTACACGATTATGACTGTAGCCCTCTCACCGTAAAAACAAGCAATATTTCCCTATGAAATAGGTTCACTGCTGCATACTACATAACACTCTGTTATCTAGTGTAGCGTTTAACGCTATTAAAAAGTTTTCGCACAAGTCGTGGTGCTTTATTTTCCAGCTGTTGTTGGCCGCAGCTACGCCCTACATAAGCGAGAGTTTTTTTTTTACCCCGTTGCTCATGCATACACAGGGGCGGCTTCCAGCCTCGCCCTCTACATTAAGAGTCCTTACAAAATAAACCCCGTGAACAAATGCTGAAGAAGCCATATGTAACAGTATACAGATGAAACACGCACATTTTTGTGCTTTCCATCTTCTAGCATGCCTGATTCAACTCAGTAATTAATAGTAACATGCGTTGGGTATATGTAAGATCAGAGAAAACAAAATGTGTCGACTGACTTTGGGAACCAGAGTAGTACAGTGCTTTTGGACTGTTCAGTTCCTGTGGCCAACATTTTATTAAATAAATGCTCCATGAAAATCAGCAGCTGGAGACACCAGGGGACATTCGAGTATCTTAACAGAAAAGCTCATTATATACAAATAATATTAAAAAATAGTTGTACACAACACATCTGTAATTTTTATTTTTTTCCTTTTACAGTTTACAGTTAAGTCAAATATGGCACATAAAATATTGTACACACAAACAAAGCTGCCCTATACATACAAGCATTTGCAAAAAAAGAAACATAACAAAAAACCTATACATATAGTATGCACCGTAGAGGATGATGAGAAATTATTATACTCAAGTCTTCTCTGGATCGTGAGCCACATTTTGCGAGCTCTGTAGCTGGCTTATCTGTCTCCTTAGCTGAACAATTTCCTCTTCCTGCTCATCAATCCGCTGCCGCAAACTGTGGATTACCTAGAAATTAGAGTACAAATTTTGAGTATTTTTCCTTTTTTTAGTTTTAATTCCGTTCTCAGTCAGGAGGTCTCTGTACCATCATATGACATGACCAGAAGCATCTAATTAAAACATTTAATTACAAACTCAATTCCAAAAAATTGGGACAGCATGTGAAATGCCATTATAAACAAAAAGCAGTGACTAGTAAATTCTGTTAAGATCACAGGCATTCATTGTGGTTTTCGTCCTTGCCCTTCCTCACCTGTTCCAAGATATTTTTGAACATTTTACAATGTTCCTAGTCTTAAATGGCTCCTGTACCAACTTTTTTGGAATGTGTTGGAGGCATCAATTTCAGAATAAGTGTACATTTGTATAACTGTATTGTCAAGGTACTATTACCCAGACACAGCATGGCATAACTCGACACTTAAACATGATCCCCAGAGTAATTTTGCTCTGTGCACAGTATTTGAAAGGTTCTATGTTTTACAATATTTAGCATCACCACAACCGTTTAAAGATGGGACCACTTAAAAACTGTAATTAATTAATTATATTACATTAATGATATTAACTGCAAATTGTAATAAAATCTTACCACATTTAATGTTTTTATTTTCAATGTTTTCAATGGATGCATGATATTGGAATCATATCAGTATTGGCTGATAATTGCTTTTTTTAAAAAATCATTGGCAATGGGCTGATATTACAAACTGATATTTGATGATGCATTTATTATATGCCGGAAGAGCACCGTTAATGTTTAAGTGGCTGGCTGCGCTACTGCAGTACAGCTAAAGTGTCTCCCACAGCCCCACACACAAGCAAAACCTGCAGCTACTCAGCTACTAACCCAATGTAGCCCAACTGGAGATACACTGCATGGTAGTGATATTTGCAAGCTCATTGACGATAATGTGACATTCATTAGCTCTAACACAGACATTTGGAATTTTGACGTGAGTATTCTCAGTTTAACCGCACAGTGGATAGAGAACAATTTTGGAATTAAGGCCACCACACACCAGACATGCTGAGAAACAACAGTGCTCAGAGTTATGGAGTAGCATTGACGCAGCGCATCAGTGACAGTGTGCGTACCTCCATTAAAAACAACATATTTCAAATTTTTGGACACTGCGCGACACGGCGCATTCCGTGTGCGGTGGCCTTTACAGAAGGCAGTTTTGCATGCCCAAGATGTAAAGATATGTACATGTAAAATATCGAACATGGGCATTGGCAGATATGTACATGTAAAATATCAGATATCGGCATCGGTCCAGAATTCCCACATCGGCGCATCCCTATTCAATGTTAATGTGAAAATGTTAACCAGAGTCACACATACCATGTCTTTGGTGCTGAAAAGATCACTTTGCAGTAGCTGAGATGCACTTGGTCGCATTGAGGGACTGGAGCTGGTCAGTAGTTTGATTTGTTTGGTCAAGACTGGCCAGTTCGCAGCTAGGGTGTCCGGAACTTTTCCCCGTCTCAGCTCCTCAAGCACGTGAACACGTTCCATCTCTGTCCCGAAAGGCTGGAACAACTCAACAGCAACCACCCCGATGCTAAACATATCTGACTACAAAACAGAGACAACAGGGGTGTAAATCTCGGTTTTCTTTCTTTTTTTTAGCAATGCAGGATCAAATCTCCAGTTTCACCACAATTTGATTATTTTGGGTACAAAACAGCACTGCTTTCACAAAATATATTGAATATGCCACCAAGACTGGAGACAGCTTTTTATAACATATTTTATTGAATATTACTATAATCAATTTTGATTGATTATAACGCTCAAAAAATAATGTTGAACCACCGCGTCTTTAGGCAACTGCCCCACAATACATTTTTACATCAGTCCCTTAAGAGACAAGTATATTTGTTAAAAGTTGACTATAGCAGCAGCATATGGTGTCAAGTATATTTTTAATAATGTTCTAATACAGTAGTTTTCAATCCTGGTCCTGAAGTACCTCTGCCAGGCACATTTTGCATGCTCTAATATACCCAGTTCACCTCAGGAAAGACTTGTTAATTAGATTGTAGGCCTGGGTGATATCTAATTAGAATGATATTTTATTATTAAATTAGGGCTGCAAAAAATATGTAATAACGTTCAATAAATTCAATAATTTCTATTATGAAAACAAAATGGCTATTCAAATTTTTTATCTGATAATCTGGCTGAATGTCACGTAAATTCTGATTTACAGGTAGCCTTTTTCACATCCTTTACTGTCAAAGCCGAAGTAATATTAGAGAATTTGTAATGAAGAGAACTGTTACTCCATAATGTTTTCCGGGTGGCTGACATTGGAGGGCACTGAGCGAGTCCAAAACAATTCTAGTAATTTTTTTCTTGACTATTTAATGGAATATATCCTTCTACTTTGCAAAATTAAAGGAAGATGCTGATCAAGAGGTTAGAAACCGTTTAGCCCCTTTTAGCCCCTTTTACCCCCCATTCATAGAGGACTGTGCCCTCTAGGTTTTTGCAGTCATGTTTTTAATATAATGGTAGAAATAGGAAGTGGCCAGGCTGATTAAATTGGCTCAAGTGATATCTCGGCAGTAGTCAGAGGTAGGGCTCTCGAGACAGTTCCTAACGCTCTGTATTAGGGCTGTTCTTGGAGGCAATACTGCTTAATTGCCAGTTGAACTCCAAATGCTTATCCCATTGTTTTGGATTGCTAGCTAGTATGCTCTAAACTGCATTTAGTTCTGAGAATACATGACATCCAGAGAAGTTTATTCAGACTTCACACCGCAATAAGACAGACACAGATGAGTTTAACGTAGTCAGGTATAAAGCGGGTTCTAAGCAACCTAAAGAGTCTATACAAAATGATCAACCCCTCGCTTCCTGACAAAAAGTGACCAAAAGCTGTTTTAGTTTTAAAACTAGTTTGGTTATGAAGATGCTGATTTCCTGCACAGCTCATCACTGACACTTTCAAACAGCCTCAGGAACCTGAACAGTGCTGCTAGGTCAGACAGGATACCCTGGATTACCATTTTAGGCTACATGCTATGACAATAGTTGGTCACCACTGATATTTTTCCATTAACTTGTAGTATTTAAGTTTCCTAAAACAGCATTAATAACAAGAAAGTAAATTAACTGATTCTTACAAAAAAGAGCTAATTCACATTAACAACAATAAATATAATCAATCAACTCGAAAACTAAGTCAGATTACGATACCTATCCCAAGGCAGGTGGATTTAAGTTACCTTTGAATCATAGTGAGAGCCCTCTAGTTGCTCTGGGGAAGCATAAACAAACGTTCCCACTCCAGTGGTGTGAGCAGACCCTGGAAATCATTAAGATATGTGTAAAATAAGTCAGGCTGTCAGCCAGTACAGACCAAGACTCCAATGTGAACCCAAACCTCTTGATACACAGTACTGTACAAAAGTCAGAGACCATTCTTTCATTAATTTCATTCCCAGTCAAAATAGCCACTGAATACCAGGTATTCCTTTTTCAGAAACATATATTTAACAGACAAAATTACACAGTAGCATCAACAACTAGATGTCAAAATCTGCAGTTTTAGTTTGTCTACTTGTTGCCTTTTTTCCTCATGATCAAAGTAATCCCAATTACAAATGAGGAATCATCAACCCATAAAACCTTCCTCTACATCTCAGATGTCCAGTTTCGCTGTTCTAGTGTTCCTACTTATTCATGTATTTTCCCTTGACTTTCCTCTTTGTTATGCAAGTGGATTATCTTCTAATTTCCTCAGAAATATCTCATTTAGTAATTTTACATTCATATGAGAAGGAAATTTGTAGGGCAGTTAAGGTGTGTTTCAGTAGTTGCTTGTGTGAATGTTAGAGTCTCTTTGAAGGGGAGCATAATGTCAGTGACTTTATTGGGAACAGTTTTTTTTTGGGAGGACACTGCTGTAACTCCTTGGTTTTAAGACTGGAAGGATGGGAGAGTTAAAATAGGAGTAGGGTGCACAAATATAATGAGTAGTCCAATTCAATACTGCTAGATTTAATATACTTGTGTTTGAGGATTTTTGTCATTTTCCTTTGAAGCTACTGAATAATTTTTTCCTGACACTGAAAAATGTATAACAATGTCCTTAATGTACTTAATGTCCATCTTAATTGGAAATTAAATAAACAAAACATTAAGGGATTTTGTGAACATAATAATAAATAATAAACTGAAAAGAAAATACTGAAATTTACATCTCACCTGCATTTGTTTCTAGCGCAGAATGCAAAGGTAGCTGTTCATTTTCGTTTACTACAATATCTCTACACGCCAATCCAAAGTCTCCTATCTTCACATGGTATTCATGGCCTTGAAGAAAAATGTTCCGTGGCTGTAAACAAAAACACACAAACAAAAACAAACAACAAAAAATAATATACACAAAAGTGCAAGATTTACTTTACATGTAGCAATTGTGTTGGCAAATTTGTCATTATGGCTCATAATAATAAAAGGAAACAAACAATGTGTAGACTACAAGGCTATATCTCAAAATTAAGTGAACTGAACATCACAAGTTTATTTACAATCTTCTGTTTCTATATTAATTTTGGCTCTTACCTTCAGGCTGAAATAAGTGAGAGAGACAATTTTGTAATGTGGTTCAATTACTCATAAGCTGTGGAATCGAGAATTCTCTATAATGGAGCAGTGGTTCAGATTGGAAGCCATAAATATCTCAGTGGAACGAGTTATTTGTTCGTTCAGAATTAGCTGCTTGAATCCATAAGGGGATGCTGCGATATGTGTTTTTCCTCGCTCCAGTAACTGACGCATTCTGGTGATGTTTTCAAAAATTCATTACCATATCGGAGTTAGCACAAGTATTTGATCCTCAGGTTAAGCAATGTCAGTACACAGTCACTGTTCAATCTGCCACTCTTTGCCCATCTTTACTGCGCAGCTGTTACATTCTGGAACTGAGGCTTTGTCCAAAGCAGGCTAACCAAACTGGTAAACATTTGTTCACTTTTTACTGCTGCTCAGGGGTATTTCCATGCACTAAACATCTCAGTACTGCAGAATACTGCAACAGTGGAAGCAATAAGTATAAATGCTTATGTGTTCGCTTCAGGTTTGTGTGCTGGACCTTCTTTTTGAGCCTGAGCGTATGACTCTCATCTGTCTCATGTGTACAGGAAGAACTCCTACGAAATCCGGCCAGATGACTCTGACTTTTTAAAATTTTTATTTCAGCCTTTAGATGGTGACTTGCAGCACCGTACACACCATATGTTAGTGAGTTTTTTTCCCTCCTGACTCAGAAACACTTGTTCTTTCAATTTCAACAAAAAAATATACATAGTGCATCCTTAACATGAAACAGATCAAGTGAGCTAATGTAAGCTACAAATGTCTGGAGGGACTTGTTTGTGGTTAAAATCAGCTGCAGCTTGTAGATAAGGAGAGTGGCAGTGACGGATAAGTGCAGGGAGGTGGCGCCACTTGGTCAAAGTTTGGTTTAGGGCAGGAGTGCTCAATCGTGGGTTTAAGGACATCTAGATGGGGCACTATCATGTGCCTGGTACTACTGTTATAAACTCTGGGACACACCTGAGCGACCTATGTGCTTATCACAGCAACCCAGAGACCTACTTGAAATCTGTAAGATCCAGCCTCTCCAACATAACAAGGACTCCTGCAAGCCCTTTTTAAGGATGCGCTGCCCAAAATGTTATACAACTTTGTCTTTCATCACTGGGATTTCCCATTGTGGAATTCCATGAATACAAAGAAAAATCACAAATATCTTCCTATAGCAGCCTTCTGACAGAACTTACAGGCCAGCACCCTGTGAGGACAGGGTACCAAAATGGATTTGACCATAGAGCACCATTACGCATTACTTTTCGATTTAATCTTAAATCTACCTTAAACAATGTGAAATAAACATGTGCTTACCTTAAGGTCTCTGTGCATGATTCCACGGGAGTGAATATACTCCACTCCTTCAAGTATGTTCTTTAAAATATGTAATGCTTGTTCACAGTCCAGTGACTGGTAAGGACCTGTGAATGAATCAATATGTAATGATTGTTAAAGTGTTGGCAGGGGTAGAGGGACATAAAAAGTTGCACCAAGCCAATGAATCGTTTCCCAAATTAAGAAAACGATAATTATCAGTCACTACAATTATAGAAACGTGTATCATACATACAAACCCCATTCCAGAAAAGTTAGGACTGTAGGTAAAATGCAAATTAAAAACAGAAAACAGTGATTTAAACATCCACTTTGACCTGTATTTGTACAAAAACAATACAAGGATATTTAAATGTTTTACCTTATCAACTTGTAACCGTTGCCGGCAACACATTCCAAAAAAGTTGGGATAGAGGCAATTTGGGCATTTCTTAGGCATATAGTGCACAATATCATCAAAAGTTTCAGGGAATCCGAAAAAATCTTTATGAGTGAAAAACAAGACAGAAAACCACAACTAAATGCCTGTGACTACTATACTATACTACTATACTTTAGCAAATTGTTGTCAATGAACATTGTTCACCGCTGCATCCACAAATGCAGGTTAAAACATGCACTGAAGTTGTATATCAACAACATCCAGAAATGCTAACAACCTCTCTGGGCTTAAGCTCATCTGAAATGGTTTGATACACAGTGGAAACGTGCTTTGTGGTTTGAGGAGTTGACCTTTCAACAGCTGTAAACCTGCTTCTGTCACAACTTTTTTGGAATGTGTTGCAGACATCACATTTGGAATGAGCGTGTATGTACAAAACACCATCGTAAGGTATAACATAACATTGTGTTTTGTACATAATCATAAGATAAAACATAACATTGTGTTTTGTACTGCTGTCAATTTAATACAAGTCAAACAGAATTTACTAATCACTGCTTTTAATTTTAATTAGTATTTCTCATACTGTCCCAACTTTTTGGAATTAGGTTCGCGAATTGTATTTACAATTAAAAAGCATGCTTTAGTAGCAAAAACTAGTCAGATGTTTTCTTTCTTTTTGAGATGAGTCCTCCATGTACACTAATTTTTTTCATTATACTAGTCAAATCAGGGCCATGCTTTTGCGCATGTAAATTTAAATATTGTTTTGTTGTGTTTTTTATGGTGTCTTTCTGAAGCTGACAACAGAACATGGATGTCCTACTCAAAATCACACTCAAAGCATAACAATTCTTGCTTCCACTCAACTTCTTTTTTTTTTTTAGTAGTAATCATCACTATCTAAGTATTTGTTTGTATTGTCAAAGAAAAGGTCGTTTTTAGAAAGAAACTGTCAGCTGCTGTCATGTTTGCTAATGCAGTGATAACATCTTCTTTTGTTATTAATGGTGGAGAGTTATAAATGTGTGAAAATTCAAAGGTAAAAAAATAATGGCTGCATGCTCTACATTTTTTGTGGCAAAAAAGTGAAATGTTTTGGCTGTGGCACTGGGCAATAAGCAACGCTAACCTCTGAAAGAAACGGTATAATCAGATATTTCTTATATCTGTAGAAAAGCTAAAGAAATGGTGGTAACACTTTACTTGAACCCTGGTACATAAAAATGACATAAGCTTGACATAAACATGCCATCTGCTGTCATGGACTGTCATGACAAATTTTGTTCAGTATTATAACAAACTCATATTACTATTACCATTATTACTAAACATAATCTGTCATGCCAAGTCATTACAGCAGATGACATCAGCCACGACATGATGATGGCACCATTATGTCAATCTCTGTAGTTCAAGTAACATGTTACTAAAATGGCCACGACGGCTACTATTCAGGAAGTAATCCATATTTATTAATAATACATTACTGAATTTACCTCTTGACATTGTGAGATCTGCCTTAGGTCTGCAATTCCTTTCCTGAATCCAGTCTTTCAGAGAACGCTCACATAGCTGCATTTGAATGTAGAGCATCAAGTGAAACTGGACCTGGTTGAATGGCCAACAATGTCAAAGAAAGAAGAATTAATTTTGGTAAGTTTGTTTTTCAAAGTACCAGCTTTGTCTGGAATATGATAAACAACATGCCTTGTTTGGATGTTTTTCAGCCTGCTGACTGTCCATATCGATGTAGGAGTTGTTGTTTAACTCCACTTTGTTCTGACTGATCTCGTCTTCTGACAGGGCTGAATCATCCCAGCTGAGGGCAGGGCAGGCATCCACAGCAGAACGAGGCTTACCCAGGAACACGCACGGAACAAAGTTCTGTGGGTTGCGCATGTTTTTCGGGCACACACCTTGACTCCTCTCCTCTTTTGTCTTTGTAGATTGCACCGAGGTACTCTCTGGGCTCTGTGTAGGTTGTTTTTTTCGGTCCTTTGAACATTCAGTGCTTTCAAAAACAATGGATGATCCATTGGTGCTTTCCTCAAAATGTCTGAAAGAGAGACACATTGTTACAGTTCAGTGCCCAGTATCTACTTTTGAGTAAACAAAGTCAAAGATCTTACCCTTCTGTTTGTGATGGTGTTTCTAAAGCTGGAATGGAGTTTGGAAGCATTGGTTTAGGATCTAGAATAAAAGGATACAAATGATTATATAAAACATTTTTGTTTTATTTCCCCTACCTATTCATAGTATTCCAATAACGTCATGTAATCACACAGTCATTTTGGTAGGCAACTTCATTCTGCAGCACAGAGACAGTTTGTTATGAGATAACAAAGCCACAACTGATCTAACACAGGCATTAAAACATGTTATTTTTTCAACAGTTAGTTTTAAAACTAAATTTTAAAGCATATTAACCAACATATTTGATTTGTTTCTGTAGTGATAACAAATCAAAGCTGAAATCTAAAAGGCTGAGATTTCCTGCTCAGTCCTAAACTGCATACCAGCACACTAAACGGAATGTAAAAAAGTGCAGTACCATTAGAAATGCACTCATAAGTGTAGCATATAAAGAATGAAGGTGTGTGGTTTGGGACGCAGAATAAGATCAGCCTGTAAAAGACATTCAACAATCTAGCAGCACCAGTGGCCGATTCTAGCTTTGTTGTGCCCCTCATTAGATGGCCATTAAAAAAAAATCTCATACATTAGAAATTTCTTAACTAGACGTGTATGCATGTTATACGGCTCCAGGTCCACTAGTCAAGCTAATCTACTCCTCGTAGTGTATTCTGGAGACTGCATCTAAAGTGTCCACATATCTTTTTCGCCATCATTCTGGCTGTTTTGCCTGACCTTCATACTTTTGGTTTGCAACCTTAATATCAATTAAAAAACGGCCCAGTCAATAAAATTGCCTATTTGAAGAGTAATGGTCATGGATTGTTATACTAAGATAAAGAGACTTTTACACTCGGTATGAGCTACTTACTATTCATAGTAGGTTGCACATGCTCCATCCAAGCAGTGTGATAGCCAACTATATTTGGATGCTGAAGACTAGACAGAACTTTGACCTCCCTAAGAACCTACAATAGAACATTGATAAAATGATTTGTTGAATTTTTATATAATTACCTCTGCATAATATGAAAGACTTTTTATGCTTGGTTGAAACCACACTTGCCTTCATACAGTCATCCCTTGTCACATTCTTGATAAGAATTTTTTTTACAGCATAATCCTGCCCATCCAACTTGTTTTTTACCTACAAAACAAGAGGTAAATGGGTTATGAAGTTCCATTAAACTACCTACTTAACTATTATCTGATAATGATTTCTTGTTATAACTTCAGTTAGAGATTCCAATTGGAAAAATGGAAAAAAACCTTAAAGACTTTGCCATATGATCCTTTGCCCAATGTTGACATTTCTTCAAATTCACTGAGGTAGCGAGATGTTTGTGCTTGAAAAAGACCATCTTTCGTCCTGGAAATGAATGGAAAAGGATATTACCAATTTAACACTTTAGTGGCGGTTCTAGGAATTCTAGTCATAGAGGCCACAGTTGCTGATCAGGGGCCAAATAAAGGCCTTTAAATTCATGGAGCTCCATATTTCTCTCATAATATAGACGGATACATTTTTATAAAAGAATTAACACTTTTCTTGGCATCAACCACCTGACTTAATAAATCATTCCATATATTATGTGGTGTGTTTTACATTCAGGTCGAGAATATATAATAAAATATATAATAAAAGGCCTAATGATTCCACAACTTCCATATTGAGCCATGCAAACTCATGAGTAGTGAAAAGGTCACAAGCTGAGAAACTAACACCCTGTAATGTGGACCAGAGGCTCATTCCCCTAGGAGAATCTTTTAGTAAATTTAAGATTAAAATAAAGTATTTTGGAGCACAATGAGAATAAAATACAGAAAAACAAGTAATTGCTGTACAATGATATGAGTTCAACAACTACTCAATAAAATTTATGTCACAAATTGTATTGCTTTACAGGTATTGTGACTTATTTGTTAAAGACGCCCTATGCTCATGAACATGGTTTTTAAATGGTTAACTCCTTTTGGAGGCTTATGATTATGTAGATTGGTATTTGTGGCAAGTGTGTTACTATAGCTGAAGTTTTCCATTGAAAACACATGCTTTCTTAGCACATCTGGAAAAGGTGATCGTGGGGAACTGCGTAGCAGTTAAGTTTTGTACATCATGAATGAACCTATCACATTCTAATATACCAAAATATGCTAATGAGAGGATTACAACATGGTGACTGGGAACTTATAGTTACGGAGAGCAAGCGCTATCAAATTTATATTCCACATCTATCTGTAAACTGTCAAATATGGGGTGTAAAACTATCCTAGTAGTCCGTAGCAGTAATTTAGTATGCTTAAGCTTTCTAACCACTGTCCTTGATAGCACCAGAGGTTAATGTTAGCTTTGCAAACAGGCCAAAAAATAGCTTCAGGACAAAGGTTCAATTCTGGCTCACGAAGGCTTCATTGACAACTTTAGAGGACAAAGACTCAAGCAATTCATATTTTTTTGAGTGTTAAGCCATTAGCTATGCTAAACTTGTTCCAATATACTGTTCTTAGTAGCATCAGAGGCTAGCATTAGCTTAGCGAGCAAACTAAAACAGTTTCATTCACCACAACACAGGTTCGATCTGCTAGTTTAGAGAATAAAGACTCAAATTTGAGCGAGTGACTGGTGTTAGACTGACAGAAAGACTGAATCTAACATTCTGTGGTCTGTTGCACTAAGTTATGAGCCTGCTAAGTTAGCACTAGCATAATTGACTGCTTTCCAAAGTTCAACATAGCAGTAGTTGTTCAACTTTTTGGGATAACATGGGATGGGATGGACATGGGATAATGGGTAAAGATTTGAAGTTTATTTTCAGATTATTAATGTTACAGCAGGAGCTTATTTGTTTCGCGCACCGTCTCATGTTCTCAATCTGTTTAAACATAGAAGGCTGCACCACCCATTCACCAAAGGTAAATAGCACACCATCTCTGGTGGTAAAAGGAAGGGGACGGATTTGGGGACTGGGAGGCACGGAGCTCTTTACAATTTGCATAAATGTGCATAATCATAAATCTTTATATTCTTGATGATTAAGGTTTAGGGATGGTCCTGTGCCATTTTTATTGGTTTCTTGGGCATAACAATAATACATAGAAATATTTGCCAACCATATTTAACCAAACTATCTTGTTTTGACATCCTTTCTCAACAATTATAAATACCCATTCTAAAACACTCATTATTTGTGTTCTATCAGCTAAAGCCAGGGTTACACGACATGAGTTTTTAGCTTCAAATCTCAGTCTGGCTGATTTTGGGCTGGTTGGCTGTAATCTGCAGATTTTGGGTGAGCAGGAGTCAACAGCTAGGAGTGGGAATCGAACAGTGTGTGAGGGGCACAGACATCGATTTTTTGTCTCTCAGTTGTGTTTCAGACCAATTGGAGTTTATCAAATCTTAGATAACCCAACCGTAATCTAGTAGTCAATCTAAATGGACCCCTCTAACAGCCAATGAAAACTGAGAGCACAAAAGGAGAAAATAAAAGTAAAAAAAGAAAAATGGCGAGTAGTCACTCACGTGTGTAGGGAAACTTTATTTATTGTGCTGAGGTTAAGGCACTAGCACAATCAAGTTTATGTACTTCTAAAACTCTAGAAAATACCACACTGATCACATTTTACATCCATGGCCCTCACTTAAGTATGTTTAGCTGTTGCTTCTTTATTGTGTCAGTGCAAACAGCAGAGAAAACAGAAGCAAAAGTAAGTTTAGTGAGTTCAGATCGGTTCAACAACAACTTAAAAGTTGTGTAGTGTGTAATCCTAAGATGTGCAGTGTGTGATCCACATTATTTCAGTCGCCCAAAAGTATCTGCAGAAATCAGTTGGGTAGTGTGAGATGCCCAGTGTTTTCATAATTTGTTAGAACTTTAAAAGTCGTGTAGCGTATCCAGGGCTTACAAGGCCTATACTGGCTCCATTAGGCATGTTGTGCTTGGACCCCGACGATCACCCCTTTCAATGTAATTTAAAGTTAGACTGTCACTTGGCTCTCACAGTGGTTGTGACAGTCAACAGAAATCAACATTAATTTTAGACAAATACATAGTGGTAGCTGACTGTCTTGGTTGTAAACAATGATAAATTACATGTTAACCTTTTTGCACCCACATCTGGGAGCTACTGAAGGAAGAAATCTGAAAACGCAAAAATGAAAACAACTTTACCGCTTACAAAACAGTGCGCTCATTTCATGTTTCACATCCTTCTTCTCTACAAAGTTTTCATTTATCGCTACCATTAAGTGTTAGTTACACTGTTATCCAGCACTAGCACCAGTCCAGAAACCAAAAAATAAAAGTTCTATAATCGGTGGATTGGACAAGTAAATGATCATGATGTGCTGCTGGCCAGGGGACTGTTCTTCAGAATTTTCCTTGTTAGCAGCAGAAAAAAACGCCCCTGATTATGCTGGGAAACCATTTTGACAAACCATTTGAGTATAAACATATATGTAAAGTTGTAGATAAACTGACAAAAGCACAGCATACAAACTTACCTTACCGCAGGGGTCTGACCTTCTGCATTTAAGTACCTATGGTCCTGTCAAAAGCAGAATAAAAAAATGATTGGTTCTTCTGTTCTGTAAAGCAAAGGCAAAAAACTGATGGCAGGTTACTTACCTGAGGGAAGAGTGATGAGCTGGCTGCATGCAGAAGCTCGGTGAAGGCCCGGTTGTGCTGCAGCCGCACAGTGCTGAACTCGTCACTAATGGCCAGTGGAGAGAGGAGGTTCATTGCTGCCAGGCGCTGACCAATCACTAAAACAAGCACAAGGAATATCACCCAAATCACACAGGCTAAAAGAAAACCTTCACATTCAAATAACCAAAGGACCAAAAATATTCACAAAAATGCCTGAAAATGCTGCAAAGCCACTAAAAGCAATACAACTGCAGCGAAAAGGAATGTTTTGTTTTTTGTTTGTTTCTTTGTCCACATTTAACTACAAAAAGTAGAGATCAACAGAACAAGAAGCTGGAGAACAAGTTGCTCACAAATAGGAAGCCAACTTTAGCCTCATCATATCTACTTGTCTTATCTACATATCCACTGATGAAAAATGTTTTTTCTTGAAGTATATTACGTATTTGGCTCCTATTTCGCTGTAAACTTGCTGTGTGAACATGCAGAGCTGAAATTAACCTGGCTTGTTGTCAAAGCTTTAAGCATTTTTTTCTAGTAGCATGTTAGCATCTGAGCGCTAATCATAGCTTAGCTTACACTGCACTTGCTTCATGACCTAAGGCTTTGGCAGGGGCTGAAAATAAAAATAAGACACAGAACTACAGCCCTTTTAGCCTTTTTAGTACATTTAAAAACCCATCCATGAAGCAGAAGGACTGTTTTGTTCTGTTAGTTGCCAGATTATTTCAATGGTTACTGCTACACCATTTAAGGTGGAACGGGAAAATTCAAACAAGAAGCTGACTTCAGCTTCAAGAGTTGAAAGGCATGAAGGGATGAGAATGTTGCTCTGTTTCTGCTTTACAGGGGGGTAACATTAACTTATTTTTGCTGTTTCACATAATCAACAGGTCAGTATTGTGTTGTCCCTTTTGCTAAGGTTTGTGGCCAGCTTTGCAGTAGGTTTGTGGCTAGCTTTGCAGTAATGTAACTAACTAATGTTGCTGTTTTTCACGCTAATGTTATATTATGGTCAAGGGGGAGAGGAGCTTCTGAAGGAGTAATGAAGAGAGGGGTGTATTTGTTTTGCTGTAAAGAATTGCTTCTGTGCCTTTAAACGTGGCATCCAGCCCCACCCTAGATCGGTATTGGCCATTGGCCGTATCATGCTGAAAGGCAATCAGTGATTGGTATCAGCCCTAAAAATACTGACATCTAACAATAAGGTTATGAATTTGTGGTATTACTGTAGTTGTCCTGTTCACATTAAATAAGCAAGTGGTAAGACTACTGTTGTTTTTCTGGCCTGAATGCTCAAGAACAGCTTACCCTTGAACAGCAAGCGTGAGCGTGTAGGGTCACTCTCATAAACAAAGCACAAGTGTTCCAGCAGAGAGCCCAGCAGCAAGTGGTTGGGGATGGCAGAGGCAAACTCCTGAATGGATGGATACTGTCTCCCTGCCATCAGTACCCTGCTGTTGTTGTCTGAGTCTGAAGCTGTGTGAACACAATAAAGATAGATTAGAGAAATAAATGAGTGTCCCTGGCTATGAGGCCACCCCATTTTAATGACAAATGTGCAATTTACTAATGAAACAGAAATAAAGAGGTATACAAACTGAACTTTCTCCAGACATACCAGGAACAGCAAACACATGAAAACAAACTAACAAAACTGGCTAAAGAAAGATCTGGCAAGTGCATTTCTTACCCTCAGCAATAACTTTGGCAATCAAACCAACAATGTCTGTTTCTGGTGGATCCATTCTGACTTGGAATTTAGCTTCTGCTAAATTCACTTTGTCATTACAAATGCATCCCGAGTCTTGTTTGCACAGCCAGGGGTGGGCAAGGCTAGGCTATGCTATGCTTATCAGTGTGAAACATATTAAACCCCCACCTCGTGGGAGTTTCAGTAAACGATTACAAGGGAGGGACAACATTTCAATAACTAATATGCAAACTTCAATTCCAAAAAGGTGGAACGATATAAGAACTGCTAATAAAAACAGATATTTTTTTACCTTACGAACGTTTTTTTCCAAGTCTTGAGCTGTGCAGTCGTATGGGGCCTGTTGTATTTTGTGCTTCATAATGCACCACACGTTTTCAATGGGAGACCTGGACTGCAGGCAAGCCAGTCCAGCCCTTACACTCTCTAATTATGCAGCCAAGCTGTTATAACATGTGTAAAATGTGGCTTGGTGTTGTCCTATTGAAATAAACATGTATGTCAGTGAAAAAGACGCTGTACCATGTCAGACCCTGGTGTTTGAACTTTACACAGGTAACAACCCGGATGGCCCTTGAACGTCCATTATTTCCATAAATAATCTGAAAGGTCTGTCAGACCACAATACCTGTCTTCACTGTTCATTAGTCCATTTCAGATGAGCTTGAGTGTTCAGTTGTGGTCTACGGCCTTGCCCATTATGCCATGAGGGATGGTGCAATGCAAAAACAAAAGAACAAGCCACACTGTAGTGGACAAAGTTAACTTATCAGTTTGGGGAAGACTGCATTCTCTAATGCAAACCAAACTATAAGCAGGTTATGCATCAGCATAAAAGCTCACTGCAGACAAGGTATGTACAATTGCCCCAAAAATATTGGGACAATTATGCAGTATTTCTGAAAGATGTATTAAGTTAATTGGGACGGGGGAAACAAAATGTCAAATCACATTTATTTCAAACAGATCACTTCAACACTGAATTTCTGAATATCTAAGTTCACGATCTTATCAATGAACACAAGCTCACTGACACCACTGGAAGGAAAACAGCCTCATGCTTTGACGTTTCCACGTTTGTGCTTTACTGAACTCTTAGTGCAGTCTGGAAATGTTCCGAAGGGGCTTTCTCCACACAGAAGTCTGAAGTGACAATCAAAAGCGCTCAAAGCGTTTCTCTGAAACAAATATTTTGTTGATATGAACTCCATTAGGGTTTAACAATGTTTAAATTGCTAGTGTCCAAATACGTTTAGGGGTCAACTGTAGTAGAAGGTCATATTTTACAACCACTCCACTGATTATGTCTGTAGGCTATCTAGCTACTGTAACTATCCTGGACAGTTTAAATGAGATTTCAGCACACGACATCTGACAAATGACTCACTGTCAAATTGGACTTCATGGTCGTTTTCTGAGAGATCGAACATCGTTCTGCTGTGTCCGCCTCTCTCCAGGCTGGTCAGCCTTCTCTGGACGAGTTGGCCGCGACTGCTAACCAAACTAGGACTGAGGCTAACGTTACTGCTGGAACTTTCTTCTGCCATGACAGGAAAGCCTCGACTCACTTTACAAAACAAACACCTTTCATAATTTTCATAGCGCCGCTGTGATCCACTTTGACGGCTCCAGTTCAAACGGTTTTATGAGTTTAAATGAAAACTTTTGTTTTTGAAAAGACCAACAAACAGTGCTAAATGCGAACTACCAACTAAGTCCAAACCACCCGATAGTACCTCGCCATGTTTTTAGAGTAAGGGAGTATCTCCCAATTACACAATAAAGCTCACAACAAAACACGAAAGCGCTCATAACGTCTGACTTTTACGTTTAAAGCTTGGACATTTTCGCTTTTCTACAATATTCAATGTAAAATATACCCTGGAAAGTGATTGAAAGATAAAAATCAGTCTTATCAACCGGCTGTACTCCAACGTTTAATCTTCATTTTGCTCATAGTCCCTTAAGTCTCCTTATGTGCAAAGCACCTCAGTGAATGATGAAACCTTTCAAAATAAAGTGTCAGACCCGCCGGCGAAAAAAATAGATAATAAATTAATTAATCAAGTTACAAATTGTGACTGTATTCAAATTTACCAGTTCATGACAGGATTTGTTGCTCACTTTTTATGGAAAAGTAACAGCACAACGTAACGTTACCGCAGTCAGTTAAAATTTGAAAAAACAAAATAACTGACCAAAAAAAGGTTACAAAAATACGTTTAAAAATGTATATGTAAATGTGTCTGCCCCACACTATAATTACTCAACAAAATACTAAGGCAACAGAAAAATGCATAAAATAGCTAAAACACAATACTGCACACAATTTGTGGCGACTTGGCGTTCTCAAACAGAAAAGGCCGCACCGGCTTTTGCGAACTGATCTACACCTAATGTAGAGTGACGAGTTTCAGTGCACGATGATATGAAGATCAGCGGATCGCCTCAGCTCCGCCGGAAGTCTGCGCATCACAGCACTTAGCGGGAATGTTTACGGTACAAACGTCATAAGTCGGTTTGTGAGATGTGTGGTCTGCGGGAATTCATCAGCGAAGAACAAACAGCATTTCTGATATGTAATCGACATACGAACTAGCTTAACAATAAAGTGCATGCACAAACTGAAAATGGCTTGTGTTTCGTGTTTCTGTTTGGTTTAACGTTAGCAGGCAGCAGTAAATCCAGTTTGAAATTACTTTAGTTCAGCAGGCCTGAAGTTACTCATGACTGAAACTGGTGAATTTCTCCACTAAACCCTAAAAGCCTAGTTTGGTCGCGAAGTTACCTCAGGAACCATGACAGAAGCCTGGTGAGTTTTGCGTAGTTTTTTACAACTTATCGCACTGTTTCCAGAGTTAGATAGTTAGCTAACTGTTAGAACATGCCACTATAAGTATACTATTGGCTTTGAGGTCATTATATGTGAGTACAGAGCGATTTTGAGATTGTATGCAATTAGATTTGTCTGTCGTGACCTTAACGCGTGTTGTGGACCTTGAATTCCAGTGCAGAACCAGCTAGAGCCATAAAGGCCATAGACAGACACTCAGTGCATCAGATCTGCTCAGGACAGGTCGTTCTGAGTTTGGCCACAGCTGTGAAGGAGCTGGTCGAGAACAGCGTTGATGCAGGTGCTACAAATGTGGGTGAGTGCATGGGGCAGCAGAGATGAACTGCAGCTGGCTTTTGCTATGGTGAGGGCTAAGATCGCCTAATTTCAGCATTAGAACAACGTAATTTTTAATAATTCTGTGTTTGTTTTTGGTCTTTCAGACATTAAGCTCAAAGACCATGGGACGGAGCTGGTGGAGGTCTCTGACAACGGCAGAGGAGTGGAGGAGGAGAACTTTGAAGGCTTGAGTGAGTCACATTAGGAACATACATTTAGCCTATCACTAGTAAGACTGGGTATCGGAATTCAGTACTTTTATGGAGCTGACTGAATAACTTAAGTATTAGCGAATATCAAAAATTCAGTATCAAAATATTAACACCTAGTTTGTACAATACAAATTCTTGAATTGGAAATCATGATGCAGTGTTTCCCCTGAGGATCCATATTGTTCCATCATCCCTGTTTTGAGTTAGGCTGGAGCAAAAATGTGGACTGTCTGGGGGGCCCTGAGGACCGCATTGGAAAACACTGTCACAATGCATTTTCCTTCTAAATTGTGAGGTGTTGAAACGCTGTATTAGGGAGGGTCTCTGAGCTACTGAACGCTTCGTTGATAGGTGGAGGTGGTGGGAAGGGAAAGCAAAACATATAACAAGTTAAAGCTATTGTTCTCCGCCCCTTGGTGTAAGGTGGCGTAACCAAAACTCAGAAGATGGTTATAGGTGGGCAAAAGTCTCTACTTTGTAATGAAAGATGACAGAAATACAAGAATTTTGTCCTGTAACTATGATCTGATATATGATGAATTGTTCTGAATGTGACCAAGGACATCAAACTAGAAAGATAAAAAAAAAACAGCTCGGTGTTTTAATGTCAGGCTGACTTCAAAGAAAGTGTCAACCAGCAATCACTAATGAAGTCTAAGTAAAGTTATTGATATCTGTACAAAATTTTAAGCAATACCCAGCCCTAGTCATTAGTGACTAACTCAGTTTGGTATGTTCACTCTGTGGTATTTTTTTATGTCCGCAGCCTTAAAGCACCATACATCTAAACTGAGGGACTTTTCTGACTTAATACACGTCGAGACATTTGGCTTCCGTGGTGAAGCTCTCAGCTCACTGTGTGCACTCAGGTATCGATTTGTTTTGGGATTTTTTCCTTTAGCGGTTTCTAAATTTGATACCATGGCTTAATTTGAAGTTTTAGCAGTATAACAAGCAATCGTGCTTAACTGTCTTTTGCTGCATGCTTCACATTGTTTAAAAAAAAAGTGGTTCAAAATGCATGAAACAAATACTACGTTTCTTTTGTGGACATGTGGTTTCTGTTTGGTTAACATTTACAGTACAGAACAGAGCAAAACAGTCAAATCAAAACAAGCTCTGTCCGCTGTTTAAGATTCTTTTAGCGTACATTACCAGCGCTCAGTAAGCATGGCTTCATAAACCACGCTTATTGTTAACCTAAATATTACCTGCTAGCATGATACTGTGACATGTTTGGAAAATTAAAATATTGTATAGCTGAATTTTATCGGTACTGCCCAGCTCTTGATTAACCATAATACAAATTAATTGTAACCTCTTGGTGTGGAATGAAGTCTTATATCCCTCAGTAATGACTGCTTCAGTAACCTGAACTTCTGTTTGTGCTCTCAGTGACCTCAGTGTGGTGACCTGTCATGAAAACAGTAACATTGGAACTCGGCTTGTCTATGACCATGATGGGCGTCTGGTCCAGCGTGCGCCACACCCCAGGCAGCAGGGCACCACGGTCAGCCTCCAGCAGCTCTTCTCCACCCTGCCTGTTCGCCACAAAGAATTCCAGCGCAACATCAAAAAGGTTCACAAGTTCCCAATTATGCAGTAAGGGTGGAAGATGTGGGAAAGATGCAACATCACAGTTAGAGCTGCAACAACTAATTATACTGTATTTAGACAACTAGTCATTGACAATGTCAATTAAAAAATCGGTGTCAATAAAGAGGAAAAAAACAGATTTCCTGTAAAACTGGGCTGACCTTTACTGGCTGTCATTCATTTTCAAAAATCTAGAAACACACATTTACAACTATAAATGGCCAAAGCTCAGCACAGTGAGTAAATCGCTGTAAAACTGTAGTCAAAAGTTAATAACAGCGTGCTGTGCTCTGCTTTTTTTGGCAAGCTCTGTTTTGATTTAGCAGAATAAACACCGTTGGTTAAGGAATTAACTGCTTTTTTTGTCTAAACTGCATGACCAAATTATATTTATTCATTGCACTGATGCACACAGACCTGCTCATTCTCATTGATATGTGTATTTTTTGGAAAACATACTTTCTACTTGTTATGGCCTCCCTCACAAAAATGTTGGGTCACTGAAATCTTCAGTGTTTTTCAGTGTCAGAGTTTTTCAGTGTTTTTATGTGTACGAATGTTTTTGAAACATTGACATCACATGTAAGGTTGTTTCTATTTGATGAGTGGTGAACATACCTTTTGGCCCTGCAGGTCTGACATGGTTGATGCCCATGCTGTTTTTGTGTGCTTTTTTCATCGTTAATTGAAGCCATAATGAACGGATAAATATATATATTTTGTGTTTTCTGAGGTTTGCAAACAGACAAATTGCACCAGCAAAACAGTAGTGCTAATTTAATATTAAAAAAATGGTATGTGTGATGAGCACAGTATTTGTATTAGTTCAGTAGAATCTATTTGCTATTTACATAAACTAATATTGGATAAATAAATGAATGAAATGAGTTAATAGCGAATGAGTTGACACCAGTCAGATACTTGTTACTGTGCAGTTTATGCCATCACTAAAAACTTGTTGTTGTTTTTTTTTTTTTACATGCACTTTTTTATGAGATGTGAAGTTGGGGAAGCAACATAATTTCTCACAATAACGCTAAAACAACATATTGTCCAACCCTTATGTCCAGCTGTATTACAACATTGGAAATGAGTAAATGAATGAGTGACTGAGTGACTCTTTTGCCATACAGGAATATTCTAAAATGATCCACGTGCTGCAGTCATACTGCATCATCTCCACTGGTGTGCGCATCACGTGCACCAACCAAATTGGCCAAGGCAAGCGCAGCACGGTGCTGTGCACTAGTGGGAGTCACAGCATGAGGGACAACATTGGAGCACTGTTTGGGCCTAAACAGGTGAGCTTATCAGTTTATTGAACACTGTTTTCCTACTTCATATTTTGTGTTATAATAGTTGTTAATGAACAGTATAATGACAGATCAGGTGTTTGTCACACAGGGCCATGCAGAGACTCCTAGAGGGGCAGGTGCTCAAAGCTTAAAAGGGCACATGGATCAAGATTTTAAAATGGCATAACCTGCTGAGCTATAACATCCGAATATCAAAATGCATTGCAATTAGTTCATGATACCAGTAGACAACCTTGCAAAACCATTAGTGCAACTATCAAGTAAAAATATCAAAATATGATAGTTACACAGAAAAGCGTTAAACCCTTCATTTAGTGCAATATTAGCATCTAAGAGTAACCCATCATGCTCAAAAATTCTGCTACCCCACAGAAAGAGATACACAGCTAACATCCTCACGTCACAATGAGCGTGAGCTGTTTCAGGCTAGATTTGTTATAGGATTGAATCGGATTCTTTCTTTTTTCTCCTTTGATATCCGGTCAAGGATTTTATGCTGATATCGACCCCCTATGATACCTGGTATAGAGTCAGTGCCATCTAATATTCATTGTAAAGGTGGCAACGGCCCAATGTGTTTATCCCCAGTTAGCAATTTTAACACACAGTTTCGAAGGTGCTTTCTATGAAAGGAGGTTTTATCACAAGTATCAGTTTTAGATTTATTTTTTGTTCTTAACTTGAAAAGTTCTTTATCTGTTCACAGCTCCAGAGTCTAATTCCGTTTCAGCAAATATCTCCCACAGACAACATTAAGGAAGATTATGGTTTAAGTGGGGCAGAACTTCCTAAAGACCTTTTCACGTGAGCAGGACTGTTTTCTAAATAGGATTTGTCAGGTTAGACATGAATATCTTGCATTTTAGGCACAAAGAGTTTTTCATGTAGTTCTGAGAGGAAGGCCTGATGCAGTCAAACTATGTCTCTCTTTTTATTTTGACCAGAAACTATATGCATTAAACCTTTAATAGATGCTCCATTAATAGTTGCTAATCTGTGAATGACTGTATTGCAGAATCTCTGGTTATGTATCACAAGCTGATCATGGCGTGGGAAGAAGTGCAACTGACAGGCAGTTCTTCTTTATTAACAAAAGACCCTGTGATCCTTCCAAGGTATTTCACATTCACTTACAATGCCCATATAATTGAAAACTAAAATTTCCTTGCTTTTTTCTAAATAAATTTTGATATCAATTGTAAACATTGTTAAAGTTCTAAAACGTATCATTCATTAGCTTTTGTGATGCCATGAAGAACTAATTTACATATATCCACCTATTCAGCCTACAGCATTTTAGCTTCACCCATTTACACTGAAGTTATAAGAAGTGTTTTAGCTTGGACTGATTTATATGTTGTATCTTTGTTTGATGTTTAGGTTTCCAAGCTTGTAAATGAAGTCTATCACATGTTCAACCGTCATCAGTACCCATTTGCTGCTCTTAACATTTCTGTGGCTTCAGGTAGGAATGAATGCAGTATTGTACATGTATTGGGTATTGTATGTTTAATAATTGTGCTTTATGTTTTTGGCTCATTTCAGTTTGATTTGTGTTTTCATATAATTTTTTTTCTCCCTGATGTTGTAGAGTGTGTTGATGTGAATGTTACACCCGACAAACGTCAGATATTCCTGCAAGAGGAGAAGTTGTTGCTGGCAATTTTGAAGAGTTCCCTCATTGCCATGTATGAAACTGGTGTCAATAAGATCAGCCTCAATCTCACACCACAACTCTCAAGCAGTAAGTTATGCCTATCTATGCTATTCTTTCGTGTTCAGCATTAGTGTGGAGTGGGCAATATGATTATATGTTATCACAAAAAAGACATCACAATAAGCTCTTCTGAGAATATTGTGGAAATCATCAGTTCATGTTTCATTAAAAAGAGCTTTATTATGAGCCCCTAAGTGACTTGGCTGTCTTAAGATTTAAGCCAATCCTGGTGTCTGTTAGCTGATATAACAGAATTAGCAATTAGGGTTCTCCTCCAAGTGAGTTATGCTGTCCAATAGTGTTACGTTAGTGGCAGTCTAAAAAGATGCAGCAGCTCCACTTCATTGGAACTCAAAGAAGCACATGCTAGCCCTTATCTTTCCAGCTTGGTAACATTGTGTGACAGGGGGATCATGATACATATTGCATATTAAATTGTCTTTAAGTATCATGATACTGCAAGCCCCTCCTGAATGTTACCTCAAACAGCTCAGCAAATAATATTCTCTTTCGACTGTTCCTTTCTCTCTCAGGTTTTTGTACACTTGCTGATTCTGCTGCTGGTTCATCAGGTCATGACATAGCTTCTCTGCCTGAAGTAACTCCAGAAGACAACTCTGATACATTGACTCAAACCCCAAAGCCATCCTTCAACTTAGCTGGACTAAAAGCGGCATTTTCAAAACATCAAGGACCTGGAATTGGGACAAAGACCTCTAACTATAAACCTGTCTGTAATGGCCAAACTCAGAAAAAGATGCAGTCTTTTTTCCACTGTTATGAAAAAACTAATTCCATGAGACCATCTGTAGGATCTCCTTCAAATGCATATTTTGAAAATGCTGCTTCACCACTGAAAGCTTCATGCCTGAACAAGTATGAGCACAATTTGGACATGAACACTGAATCAGTCATCTCGGAGGAAGGCTCCTCCACAACCTCAGAGACACTGTGTGGAAATGGTTCTGAATTCAGCTCTTTAGGTTCTGTTTTAGATGAACCTAGCATTAAAACAGAACCCTACAGTGAACCCATAGCTAAGGTCTCTGATGTCTTAGAATCTTCAGAGCAAGAGAGTGAATCCATTCATAGCCCCGAGAGGATCTTCAGTCCAGAGGCCAAAAAATTTAAGTGGGACGATAAACCATCGGAACAGAAGCCGGTGCCGTCCTCCACTGCTAGGGATATTTCTTCTGGGCTATTTGACAGACCTGTCAGTGTACAGAAGAAAACAGTGCCTTTACGGTTCTCAATGATGGAGCTTACCAGACGAATGGAGAGACTGAAAACCCACCGAAAAGAGCAAAATGACCAAGAGCCAAAATATAGACGCTTTAGGGCAAAGATTAACCCTGGTGAAAACCAGAGTGCTGAGGATGAACTGAAGAAAGAGATAAGGTGGGGCACCAGTTTAATTTATTTTGTCTTATTGTGCTGATCATATCCATGTCTGAGTTTGTGCATGTTTGTATCATGTGTCCTAAGAAAACTTAAGTATCTCAGAAACTATATCTTTATAAGAGAAGGGATAAGTTTAATGTACAGCGCTGTGCAAAATAAGTGCAAATAAGTACAACTTACTTCAGCATTAGGAAAAAAGTAGAAAACGTCTATTTATCCTAACATTTTTTAGAAGCTTCAACAACTAAATAAATGAATAAAATACTTTTTTCAGAGTTTCCACCCCTTGTCCACCCTTTGCTTTTATTACAGCTTGCATTCTTTTCATGAGAATTGCTGTCACTTTTTCAAAGACGTCTGCAGAGATATTTCTCCTCACCTCCAAAGTTCAGTCTTTGACGTTGGTTGTCTTGGCTGCACCCAAGTAATCCCAAACACATTCTGTGACGTTGAGATCTAGGCAAGAGTATAGATTACTTTATCTATTTTCTGCCATCTCTCAAAGATGACAGCTTTAAGTTTTGCAAAGGTGTTAGGAGTGCAGTTTCCTGTAACAGTATTTTTGAACTCCTGTTTTGGAAAGTCTTGTTTTTCTCTTATTTTCTTTTGAATTTCCTCTTTGGCAGAGTGTATTATCTTACCCTCATCTCCTCAGAAACATCTCCTGAAAATGACTGCAAATTCTGGTCTTTGACTTTTGCACAGTACTGTTAGGGTAGAGAGATTTTGTTTCAAGTAATTTTGAATCATTTTTATTGGTCCATTCATCATGAAAAAAATGATAGTGTAAAAGCTAGCTGGAATTTTCTAATGTTTCTTTAAAAAAAAGAAAGAAAGCACATGGTTTTGATTTGATAGCCACAGTATGTTTTTATGTTTATTTGTTTTGAAGCAAGGACATGTTCAAAGAGATGGAGATCATTGGGCAGTTCAACCTGGGTTTCATCATCACCAAGTTAAAATCTGACCTCTTCATGATTGACCAGCATGCCACAGATGAGAAATACAACTTCGAGATGCTACAACAGCATACTGTCCTTAAAGGCCAGAGACTTATAGTGTAAGTCTGGCCTTTAAATCCTTTACCTTGATTCATAATTACAATCTACGCTCACCCTGAAGTAACATTGTTTTCTGTTGTCATCTCAGTCCACAGAACCTCCACCTCACTGCTGTGAGTGAAACCATATTAATTGAAAACCTTGAAATCTTCAAGAAAAATGGCTTTGACTTCCTCATTGATGAGGACGGTAGGTGACAAAGCATACCTGATATTCCTCTCTTATTCTGTAATTTGTTCTCAAGAAGGATTAAGTCTAATGTTGTGTTTTACAGCACCGGTCATGGAGAGAGTGAAGCTGGTTTCTTTACCCACTAGTAAGAACTGGACTTTTGGGCCTTCTGACATTGAGGAGCTCATCTTCATGCTTAGTGACAGCCCTGGAGTCATGTGCAGGCCTTCTCGTGTCAGGCAGATGTTTGCCTCCAGAGCTTGTCGCAAATCAGTGAGTACTGCTTCTCTTGTGCAGTTTCTAAACTAGGGCTGTCATGATACCTGAATGAAAAAAAGGATACAATTTTTCAGCAAGAAGCAGAGCCCAGCGTTGTCAGATTGCTTATATAATTTCCTGCCAACATGCATGAAAAAAAGTTCAATTATCAAAAACACTTAAATGATGGCATTTCGACCGTAACTCTCATTAATACAGCATTTAAACCCAACATAACATCAGTAATAAACTGCTAGGTTTTTTTAAAGGCTTTATATGATAATTAGGACCCATGATCCCACAGGAAATATTATAGCCAGCAACAAAAAGACCATAACTATTGCTCATACACTTTTTTAAAAACTTAGGCTATGCCAGAATTGTGTACAGTCACTAATACCAAAATAATTGAATAATTCGTTATATTTTGCCTTTGAGATCGCAAACAATGCCTTAAGGTGTGGCAAGTGCCTCTCTTCAACAGAGGTGAATAAAGTGTCAATTTTAGTTACAATTTTACAATTTAGTTGCAATTTTAGATTTCAGTTACATTATTAGGCAATGCAGTATACTTCTTTAAAACTCGCCAGAATCAGACTTTGTCCACCCCAACCAAATCCAACCAAAATCGCACAATTTAGGGGAGTAGCGTCTAATCTGGCAACATTGACAGATCCTGATGAATGCACCCATTTCATTAAGACCCAGACAGGTCCACCACAGCAAGTGGTATTTAGGTGGTGGATGATTTGTGACACTGATGTGGTGGTGGCATGTTAGTGTGTTGCGCTGGTACGAGTGGATCAGACACAGCAGTGCTGCCAGAGTTTTTAAACACTGTCCACTCACTGTCCACTCTATTAGATACACCTACCTTGTTGGTCCATCTTGTAGATGTAAAATCAGACACAGTAGGTCATCTGTCGCTGCACAGTTTGTGTTCATCATCCTCTAGTCCTTCATCAGTGGTCACAGGATGCTGCCCACAGGACGGTGAGGTGATTAAAAACTCAAGCAGCACTGCGGTGTCTGTTTCCATGTTAAAGAACAGGGAAAAAGAAAGTTAACAAAATACAAAGAGAAACAGTTAGACCACAGTCTGTAATTGTAGAACTACAAGTGCACCTGTTGAACTGATAAAATGGACAGTGTAGAAACAAGATGTACTTAAGTGGCCAGTTTGTGTATAGGGAAAATTTCAAGTCATTTTAAAGACAACTTGTTTCTTTTTTTTCTTTAGTTTTTTAAAAGGATATTTTAAAAGTCCATTTTGCTCAGCCATAATTTTACTCGATTCCATCGATTACCAAAATAATTGGTAAATAACCCCATTACTGATATAATCAGCAGTGACAGCCCTAGTCCAGACTAATTGCGGAGCCTCTGAATCTATGATGTGCAGTTATTAAGCTTATCTTCTTATCACAGGTAATGATTGGCACCGCCCTGAACACCAGTGAAATGAAAAAGCTTGTGGTCCACATGGGGGAAATTGACCAGCCTTGGAATTGTCCTCATGGCAGACCCACCATGAGGCACCTAGCCAATCTGGAGATCATCTCACAGGATTGAAGGACATTCCTCTTTCAAGATTTTATTCAGCTGAACAGACCTGACCTGTGTGTGTGTGTGTTTTTTACAAACTGAAACACTATACATTTTATTTTACAACTCATGTCCTGTCTTATTACAAGTTATTTTTTATAGGAGAGCCTACGTGTATCTGTTTTAATTGTAAATAAAGAAGCTGGAAATTATAAAACGCTTGCTAATTTGACCATCTAACTCGCCGTACTTGGTGGCCGCTTAGTAACAACATAGTCGTTGCTATGGGCAACAGAGGCTGACAGTGCTAACAGAATGGCTAGTAAAATAGCGTGATAGTTCGCGAATTTTTCTTAAAGTTTTAAGCGTCTGTAATGGCAAAAGGAGACAAAAATAAAAAGGAAAAATCTGACAGAGCTACGCCGGATGCGTTGCTTACTACTTCAACTGAAAACTGCTCCACGTCGAGCGCTGCGTCGGAGGCTAACGATGACCGAGAAGCGCCGCTGGAGGTCTCGGAGCCCGTTTGTGTGTCAGCGCCTTCGCTGGACAGAGAGAAGCTGCCTGAGTCGGAGCTTAAAGAGCCCGTTCTTGCTAACATAATTGTTCAGAGGTTAGCTCCCCATAGAACACACAGATAGCCGTCAAACTGTCAAAGAATTATAGCCAAGAGTACTGACTTGAGTGTTTTTCAGGTATGAAGGTGAGAGGTGTGGAGAGCTTTTCCATGGAGAAGGTGCCGTCGTCTTTCAGGGCGGTCATGAATACAAGGTGCGAAATAGTTGAGACGAGACGAGACTGGAATACGGGTAAAATGTTATTTCGGTCAACTAATAAGTAAAATAGAAGTGCCTTTAAAAAAAAAGGGGGGGGGCAAATAAGAAAAAAAAAGTGATGAGATGTACGAAAGTAGCTATCAGGTAAAAAAAACTGCACAGAGTTCTACTGAATTTCAGAACTTCTGTATAATTCAGAGATTGAGATGTAAACAAAGTCATCCAGAGTGATTTGATGTGAAATGGTTCATTAGTAGAGAAACTTGATTACTCAGATTTCTTTGCCGCGGTGATCAAAATATGTTTTCGACCAAAACTTTATCACAAAACTAAGTTACTGTAAAACAGTGTCTCAGACAGCAGGCAGTGAATTCATAACCACTTCATGTACTATCTTTCTGTAAGGGAGCTTTTAGAGGCATTAAACTCTTCAGACGTCTGGTTCCTATCACCACCACTGAGAACATTCTGAATCGGTAAGTTTCTCTAGAATGAAGCGTTTCATCAAACCACTCTGAATGACTTTGTTGACATGGTAACCATTTTGTTATGCAAAGTTTTCCTTTAAACATTGAGTAATGTGCAGCAAAAATTCTTAGTACATTCAGAATCAGTATAGGAACTGAAGTTAGTTAGATGCTATTCTTTTTTACTTTTTCTTTTTAAGATGTAGTCTTGGTCTAAAATAAAATGATGTAAAGCACCAAAGTGAAAGGTGTGAGCAACAGCAAAGCAGTACAGATGTTCTCACCAATGTAACATAATGGAATTAAATGCAAAAAACACAAAAATGTAATCACAGTCAACATATACTGGAAACCACATTTTGATTTCTCTAACAAATGTGGTATTAATCATAATAAAGCATTGAAATTTCTGGTATGTGTAAAGTCCACTCCCAGCAACATGAAAAAAGAGAAAATTTTTAAAAGTTCTCTGTAATTCATTTTGGAACGCAACTCTCATGTGTAACAGAGTGAATGTAACCACTTGTTATACATCTCTAATAATAGACTGATGTACACTCAGTTATAGTGACTCACATTTGCAATACTTTTACAATACTAATTCACCAGGGAAGCTTTGCAGAGGGTTTGATGCATGGACATGGCGAATACATATGGGCAGACGGTATAAAGTATGAGGTATGTGACTGGACATTTTGGATCAGCTCTATACAAAAAATATATGATGAACAATGTACAAAAAACATAAGCATCACAGTATAGGATTCTATCAAGACGTCAATATCAGTTCTTTCACACCCAGTAATAAAGCTAATTGTATATTAGGTAATGTATGCAAGGTTTACAAAGTAATAATTATCCCCCCATTTAACAGGGAGACTTTGTATCAAATGCTCCGATGGGACATGGGACCTACACCTGGCCGGATGGGAGCACCTATGAGGGAGAGGTATGCTATGGCATCCGTCATGGTATTGGAACTTATAAATGTGCCAAAACCTTTTCCGTTTACAAAGGCCAGTGGCACCAAGGCAAAAGACATGGGAAGGTATGTAAATATACCCAACATGGTCAATTTCTCTGAAATAGTCAGAAACAGTTTTTAAATTAATTTATGATGCTTAATGCAATAAATGATTTGTGACAGGGTACGATATATTACAATCAAGGTGTCACATCTTGGTATGAAGGAGATTGGGAAAACAATCGTAGAGAAGGTTGGGGAACGCGCTGGTATGTGTGAATCCCCATTTTCTGTCGGTTCAATGAAAAATACATCATGAATTACTAACATACCAAAATTATTGATGCACTTTCTTTCACAAAAGTTATCCATCTGGAAACATATATCAAGGGCAATGGAAGAACAACGTCCAACATGGAGAAGGGACAATGAGATGGATTCAGCTGGGGCAGCAATACAGTGGGCAGTGGGTTAATAGTGTCCAGGTCAGTCATTCATCTTAGCAGTATCTGTAAATTAATAGAATAGCTGAAGAAGCTTTTTTCAAGACAAACACTCAAATTTTCTCTGCAGCATGGACAAGGGACGCACACATGGTTCCTGAGGCGAGTTCCTGGCTCTCAGTACCCCCTCAGGAATGAGTATAAAGGAGAATTTGTGCAGGGCTTGCGTCACGGACAAGGAACATTCTCTTATGCAAGTGGAGCAGCGTATTCCGGGGAATGGAAGCACAACAAAAAACATGGTCAGGTAAATGACTTCTCTAAAGTTCTCTCACTTCTCAATCAAAATGAGTTTAATCATATGATCTCAACGGAAATGATATGTTTCAGGGGACGTTCATTTTCAAGAATGGCCGCATATTTGAGGGGGAATTTATCAATGATCGTATGGCTGAATTTCCAGCATTCTCCATTGATGGCGCAAAGACTCCTGACCTGAGTGGAATTAGAACACATTCACCCCCTCCTGATGGGAGTAAGGCATAAAAGTCCCTCTTTATGGATTATTGTTAAAAGTATTTAACATTCAGTTTAATCATAAAGATGTTTGTTTGTATTAAAGGAAGGCAATATTTGTTTGCGTGCATTAGGTGACTTACCCAGAAGAGCCAAAAAGTCAGGTGGTACTGCGTCACTGCTTGGGCCCGACATTGCTTTGAACATAGAGACACTGTTAAATCGATTTCCTGAACTGCAAAGAGACCAGGAGCTCAGACAGGTCTGGATGACGTATCGTAGAGATTGCGTCTTGAAATGATCCAAAAACAGATGCTTATTTGCAAACAGTGTGAAGAGTTGATATACTTTTAGGTTTTAGGAATGCTGAATGTTTCTTCACCTCAGTAGATGAGGACAATAGAACAGATCTGAATAGATGTAGAATTTTGTACCGTTATTATAATTTTTATGTATTTTTGTTTCAGGTACAATTTGCTATAATGAGGCACATTACTTTGCTAAGGACGATCTACAGTCTCTACAGCAGCCTTGGGCATGACCACTCTCCAGACAACACTTTCCTGCTCACTCGCTTACAGTTCTGGCGCTTTCTCAAGGATTGTGGTGTCCACCTGCATGGAATAACGCTAGTACAGATGGACCACCTCATCAATGGTAAATAGAACTTAGGCTAGTTGAGATCAGTTCGCTTTGGTAAAATGTTATCTATCTGTAACTACAAATACATTGAGTTGTATAAGTGAAATGAATGGTTCGCTGTATAATTAAATTCACACAATTATCCACTTTACCCCAAATTTAGTCAGTCAGTCACAAGGCTAATCAAGGTATGAGCCTTATTTATCCAACAACGAATGGAAATCTACATTACCCACAATCTTGTAGGTAATCTGCATTTCTGTCGCATAAGCCTTGTAGCTCCAATGTAAAACTAAAGAGGCAAACTTCAGGCACCAAACATGTCTTGACATGATTGACTGCTTTTGTGGTAAAAGGGAAACTTTAGCATTTTTAATTTGTTACTGATCCATTTCTTTTTTTGAACATGACAATACCTATAACATTTTCCCCTCCTTGTCTTAATATATATGATACCTCTACAGAGAAGCTTCATTCACCTTTCAGTACAATGTTGCTGAGACAGTGTCTTAGTTATATTGTCATTGCGGCATACCATATATACCACAAAGACATTGGGTAAGAATTGCTTCATCTTTTCAAAGTGAGAACTTTGACTACTGCCATTCTGTAAAGGTTGTAGCTTAATAAATCTTATTGTTCTTCTCACTTCAGGACCTCTAAAAATGTACTCGTTGAGTGTTTCTCCAAGCTCATGAAACAAAACATCATTCCCAATGCAAAGAATGTTAAAGGTACTGAAATTACTGATTATGTAGCGTATGCGCTTCTCATCTACACCATCACCAAAGTCATTTTCAATATATCAGTGAAAAGCATAACTGTGCTCTCATGAATGCAGGGCCTCTTTTCTGCCACGCTCTCCATGCTGTGATTGGCTTGACCTATATTGACAGATGCTGGGAGATATACCAGGTGTTCTGTAAAGCTAACAATACTGCTCTTTCTAACCAAACCATGACTGCCAGGCACTTTATCTGGATGCTTAAGGTAAGGACCTCTCCTTCAATAGTATCTCTAGTTTTATTTAAATTATTGCCTGTGTACCCATTCCATTCCATCTTCGCAGGATCTTGGTCTCTTGGACAGTGAGCTGACTACAGCCAGAGTGCTGGAGATCCTTTCTTTGGAAAATCCTGCAATCTACAATTCTGCTCACAGCAACCTTGATTTAGAGGTCGACTCTCTTGTTAGCTTTAAAAAATTAGTAGCATAAGCTATAATACGTATATCATCTGAAAAATAGATCAGGGCTATAGAGCTAGCTTGTATAGAATAGCTCCAAGTACTCAAAATTGTAATTCCATTGCAGATTACTTTCCTTGAGTTCTTTGAGGCTCTTCTGGGTTGTGCTGAGGTGAAGACAATAGATGGAATCAAAACCTCTGAACATTTCCAGTCTGGGCTGGTTTGTCAGGATGAGACTGTCAGGACATCAGGAGGTGAAAGGAGAGATAGCCCCCTACTCAGCCAGCAGGCTTCACCTCATACGGGTGTAGATGTTGAGGTAATGGGATGCCCTCCATAAACTTAAAGCTAACCCTTAGGCTTTAGTTATTAAGAGAAAAAAAAGATAAGACTTTAATTTAGACTTAAAATATGTCAATCAATGGACACACTTATTTTGTTCTACCACAGTACGAGTCAACAATCGAGTCCTCAAATCTTATTTCCCCTGGTGCTGGCAGTGCAAAATCCCCAGAGATCAGTCCTGTTCTTCTAGGTAAGACTTTTACATTCATTCTCAGATTGTAAAAGAAGACTAATTAATATTTTTTCATTTAGATTGTCAAAATGAAAGCACTGGCAGTTATCCGTAACTGAAATCTTCTCAAATTACTTTAAATGCATCGGACAGTTATAACTAATGAAATGAACGTTTACATTTCTAAGCAATCTTCCAAAATTGTTTCAGTGCTTAATTTTTAGATGTGAAGCACCTCATGAAACTGGCATGTAACTCATGTTTAGAAGACTGAAAATTATCCACTAGGGAAAGAGGGCAGTAAGTCAAATAACTTTTGATGCTTCTTAGGAGCAGTCCTTCTCATCAATAACAGTGAGTGCTTGTTATTACATAATAGATCAGGGGTTGATTTAACATCTAAGCTGGCTGCAGTAAACAGTGCTGAGTGTGAGATAGAGAACAGAGTCACACAAAGATACAAGCTGTGCTTCAGTCACAGACCCTAAGCAACCCTGTTTAAACGTGTACTGCCTAAAAAAAATGTATCAAAAACAGTATACATACACAGTACAGCTTTAGAGATGTGTGTAGATTACTGAACTTCATAATTTTCCGAGGAACCATTTTACATGAATCACAAGGTTTTTAACTCACTCACTCGACAGTCCTGTCTGAGGCACTCTAGAATAATAGCTTATTCTAGACAGTTAATCAACCTGTAAAAAAAGTTTTTCTAGGTAGTTTATACTATGCAGCGGTTGTTTCCATCACTATTTGTCTTCCATTGTGATTTTTATTATTCAGAGGCTGCAGAAGAGTTGAGGCCTGAAGAAGAGAATTGGATCAAAAAGACCAACCACTTCTTTACACAGATATTCTTCCCTGCTTACGAACACAACCTTCTGTTGAAAGAAGAGGTGCAGGAGGAACGGCTAAGACAGATCACAAAGAAGAGAACTGCTCTGGAAAAGGCCAAGGAGAATGCTCGGTACTTCAATAAATATGCTGACATTAAATACTCCGTAGTGCTATATCATTACTCCATAAAGGCTACATAATTTTTTGACAGCATGCACTCTCAGAAATAAAGGTAAGAAACAGTCACTGGGGTGGTACCATCAAAGGTACATCACAGTACCTTTAGTCAGGGAACATAATTGTACCATAATCCATTGAAATATTAGTTGTACTGACTCCACACACCCTGCCTCATCTCCAGGCTTTTTATTTCATTGTTCCGTTTTCAAACATGTTTATGAAAAGGTACAAATACATACTTTTCACATTTAAGGTACACAATTGGACCTTAAAACCACTGCTGTACCTTTGAGGGTATATTTACATTGTACCTTGATGAACAAAAAAATGTACTTGCACAGCACCTTTACTTCTAACAATGTACCTCTCCAACTCAAGTGATCATAATAATAAAGTAGAGCTGGGCAATATGACAATATATATCATTATCACGATAAACTGTCTCACAGTACATGCTTTCCTGAACATATCACGGTATTGCTATCATGGTACACTGACCAACTGCATGTTTAATTATTAATAGAGCAACATTAGTCCTACTACTGATTCTGTTCCAACTGATCAGATGTCAGAAAATTATATATATATATATATATATATATATATATATATATATATATATATAATAAAAATAAATATTGTGACATATCTCTCACACCCACACACACAGTCTAAGCGCTTAGCATCCTGGGTCAAGCGGCGTGCTGGAGTCTATCCTAGCAGTCATTGGACAGAAGGCAGAAAACACCCTGGACAGGTGTGACATATGTATCGTGAAAATTTCTTGAAGTTGTGTGATATATTTTTGCCATATCACCCACTTCTAAATAAAAGATCAGTATATATATTGTTTGATAAGCTTTGTTTTTTTTCGCCCTAGACTGAGAGAGCAGTGTGAAGCAGAGCAAGAAGAGAGACGCAGAGCAAAGGAAAAAGAGGATGAAGAGAAGGGGAGTGTCCCAGAGGATGACCTGAATCATTCAACCCCTGCTCTTATGACCCCTATGGCCTTCTCCAACTCTGAGAGCCTGAAGCCATCACCCCCAAGTGGGAGCAAGAAAAAGAAGAAGTAAAATGCAGATATGTTGAAAATAGTTCATTTAATTAGTTATCAAAACTTACACTTGGAGGTATACAAAACTCATTAAGCTCTGATCGTTTTAACAATAATTCTACTGCTAAAGGCAAAATAAAGTAGCAAAAAGCAAGAATGTTTCTCAGTATATCAGTAAAGACTATGTGTACTATTTACTGGAAGGCGGTGTGAACATCATCAGGTCACGGTCACACACTGACTGTCTAACTCTGTCCCTCTGCTCTGGGGTGAATGGCAGTGGGTTGTCCGTCAGCTGAAAGATGAAAACAGAGTCACTGAGAAAGTACAAAACTATCATACTGTGTAGACATTTTCTATAACAATCCAATGTAATGGTAAACTGCTAATAAAAGACAATGGTGTCAAAGAAATTTCATGCAACTGTTGAAAATGAAAAAGTCTTTAGAGATTAAGGGAAGAGTCAAACCACCTGTTCAGTCCAGGGAGTGAACACCAAAGGTGCCATTCTGGGGAGTGCTGAGGTAAAAGTGTGAGAAAGACAGCATGAGTGTCTGAAGACTATGTGCTGAAGACTACCTCCAAAAACACCAAGATGTGATCAACAATACAAATACCAAAAGTACCTGTAGGTGTCATTATTACATCCTGAACAGAGTCCTCTGCCTGAGACTGAGGACTCTCCATCTCAGCATCAGCTGCCCCAAGCGAAAACCTCTCTGCTGCCGTGCTCTGCAGAGGAGACAAGCTGCAGCGGGCTGTTGGCTGCAGGTATCGTTCAAAGTCCAACTCTGCTATATTCTAAAAAAATTAATAAAATGAAATAAACAGCAAGACATTAAAAGGTAAGCACATTACCTGGGGTAAATTTCAAAAACAGCATCATAATACAAAACTCATCAGATGCGTTACCTTTGCATCTGGATTTTCAGTCATTTCAACTTTCGCACAGATGGGAGATCTGGAAAGAAGTATCAGAATGGGTAATTATGCAATTATACATTCCAGTGGAATATATACATGAATTAAACATATTTATCATTTATTCCAAAAATTATTTAAATGTACATATGATTTGATAGGACACTGAACAAATAGAACAATTTAAATGTGGCACGTAAAAATCAGTATATAGTATTTCTTCTTTATTTAGCACTGATTCCAAACTTAGTCCAAATTTCACCGCTACCATGCAAAACTACAACTGGAGTAGACTGTGTGCAACACAGTGCTTACCTTTCATTGACATGGATGATGGCACTGTCAGAGGGAGCTGGGAAGAGGACGCAGACTTGTGGTGGTGAGACGGACATCATCGAAGGCCCGGAGGGGGAAGATACAAAGCTCTGTGCCATCTCTGCTTGTGGAGATGCTGTTTTAGATGGTGAAGGAGAGAGTGTAAAACTGTGTGTGTGAGCTTTAACGGGGAAAGCACCTGCTGCTGTACAGACCAATGGGGATCCATTCAGTTCTGTAAGCATTGGCGCTTCTGCTTGCTCTTGGCACAGTGCAGTGACCGCGTTAGATTCCTGAATGCATCCCTCAGGGTCTGGGCTAATATCTGTGTTCTCAGGTAGACAGAGAGGCAGTTCAGCCTCTGACTGACAGGGATAAATCTGTGGCTTGATCTCTGCTGACTCCTGCATTGGACTATCTACTGGTGCATTTGCAAGGTCTGATTGGACCTGAGAGGTGTTATCATTTGTGTCATGGTCAGGTTGGGTGGATTCTGTGTGTGAGACTCCAGTAAGTGATGCATGAAGGCTGGGTCTGTGGTGCTCAGGGCTGATCTGAAGTGGTTTTGGGGAGCAGGGAAGGGGTTCAGCAGGGCGCTGAGGGGTACAGGCATGATATGCAGCTGGGTGTGGTACTTGAGCAGGATTTGCAGTGGGTGATGCTACTTCAGTGGACATGAGTGTCATGCGTGGATTAGGAGAGGAATGTGAGACAGCAGATCGCTTCTGCCTGCATGGAGTGTTGAATTTAGACACAAAGGGAGAAGACTTGGGCAAGGGGGCTGCACTCAGCCGAACTCTTGGAGAATCTGTGGGTGAAGGACAAAAATTACTTTTTATTATGTAGCATATATTATGTAGCATATATTATGTAGCATATACACATTGTATGGTGTATGATAAACAGTTTAACTATGGCGGATATATTATTTGCTGGCAACTGGGAAAATGTAATCAATTTAATTAGAGCAGTCATCTACAACTGCTCAGGTTTTTGTGCACGCACTGACCCATGCATACTAGTGTCCAGTCAGAAATGGCACTGCTATGCTGACAAAAGTGCTCCTAATGCTACATTCACCCACCAAGTTGATCAAGTACCTGCTTAAATATGTAAACGTTTACAATAACGATCATATCTGGTTTAGCCATGTTATGTCTATGTAAAATTGTGAACCATTTTTGGAGTTTTCACCTGTATTACTGTCACTGCACTTGATATGGACAACTGTAAAATCTTTGTAAAATGCAAAAATCTTAATATTGTTATCTGACACTAATTAATAGGCAAGAAATTCCAGACAAGTGCATCACTAATTTAATGCATAATTAATAATCAACCCCATTGTTTACCCCACCAGATAATCCACTTTTTTGCTCACAGTTCATCTGTACCAGGGATTCTAAATGGTTCAAGGGAGCTGGGATAAAAATGTGGACCATCTGGTGGGCTGCAGGGACTGGGTTTATAAATAGTAGTCTAGCTAACACATGCAAACACGGTTACAAACGCAATACTGCTTCTTGTGAAGAGCTTGAAGACCTTAATGCACTCGTACCAACTACTTTGACTGGACTCTCCACCTGGAAGAAGCCTCCATGAAATACCACAGTCTGGGCTGCCAGTGGGTTAGCCGGGGCATCTGAGGCAGGAGCAGTGTCGTCTGAAGCCACAGCAGCTTTCTCTGCTGCTGCCTTGGCCTTCATGGCAGCTTTCACTGCAGCCAGACGACTCTTTGCAGCAGCGCTGGCACCACCACCTGCTCCGGTCTTACCTCCCGCTACAGGGGGCTTCTGCAAAAGCATTTACAAACAAAGCAATCAGAAAGCCATATGCTACTGATAGGCTAAAATCTACATGGTTTGACAATCAGCTCTTTTACAACTCATTAGAATAAATCAAATATGTGAACATGCTACAGGTTAGTGTACTTACCCTGACAACCTTTTTCTGCTTGGTAACAGGCTTAGTTTCCTCTTGCCACCCTCGGGCCTCTGCTTCTTTCAAGGCATTGAACTTCTTATTAACATCTTCCACCTAACGAGGTAAAGTGATCAAACTTTTTTTTTTAAGATTTTTTTTTTTTTTTAAAAAACACTGAAACCATAGCTTTCACATTCTTACACAACAATGTAGTAGACATTTAGTCTTGTGAATTTGTATGTAATCACCTGAAAGTACACCATGTCCCAGAATCCTTGCAAGTCTGAGCAGGTAGTGATTTTCTCCCCTCGTCCCAGGTCACAATCATCCACCAGACCGCTGAACTGGCCAAAACGCTCCTTCATCAGCAGCCTGGCCTGGCCGACTGCAGTGCGCATGCGATCCCGCACTGGAGAGAGCAACACGAACACTTGCTTTTTGAGACTTCCCAGGAGTGATTTTGGAAACCACTGCATTACTTGTTAGTAGGGCTGGGCGATAAAACGATAACGATAAGTATTGCAATATAACTTTTCCTCGATAGAGCGATAAGACAGGTTCGATAAATTTTCGATATAATAGACCATTCTCACACTTCCACGTTTTAGCGAAAGCCCTGGTGGCGTTTTCTACTGCAAGGAAAGCGACACTACTCTGCTGTCGCCAGGAGAGGACGCGCTTCCGAGTTTTTCGATTTGATTAGAGTGGGAGGAGGTCACGAGTAGGGTCGCCAAATATATATATTCCACGTTTTAGCGAAAGCCCTGGTGGCGTTTTCTACTGCAAGGAAAACGACACTACTCTGCTGTCGCCAGGAGAGGACGCGCTTCCGAGTTTTTCGACTTGATTAGAGTGGGAGGAGGTCACGAGTAAAAGGGTCGCCCAATATATATATATATATATATATATATATATGTATATGTATATATATATATACATGTATGTGTGTGTATGTATGTATATATATATATATATATATATATATATATATATATATATATATATATAAATAAATATATAAGCTACATCTGAAACGTGGAGTTATACATTCCCTGTTTGAGTGGAGCGACCGGCAATCTGTTCTTCTGTGACCAAGTGACAAGATAAGTGACGTAACTGTACTGTCCTGCGGTGAACTCACCTCTGTCCGTGCATCCTAACAACTTTAGCGGTGTTAAATCACGTCTGCAGCGCTGTGTTACAGCGCCAAACCGTCATATTTTAGTATTAGTGCATTCTCGAGCAACGAAAGTGAAAAAAAGAAGTGGGTTAATGTGAGTTACAGCCCTGATTTAAACGAAAGTAAACTGAGGAAGCTGTGAGGCATTGGGAAGTGGGAGAGCACTATCTTTCCAGGCTAGCTGTTTTTAGCTGCTGGCTAATTGAAGCAGCGCTCCGGCACAACACAGTGAATTGATGATACGGCAGATCAAACAAGACACAAAATCACCGCTTTCAGTTTAAACATACCTAAAAGGAGGACTCTGTGACTGGTGCAAGAGATTCACACTGCAGATAATGCTTTTACACAGCGAACGTCAGATATTTTGCGGTTCACCCCTTAAACTACTACGATAGCATAGAGAAATCCAGCCGTCGCTAGCTGGTGTCTGAATACTGTGATATGCTCTGACATGGATGTGGTAGGAGTGACAGCAGTGACCTACCGAACCGAGTTGACGTTGTTGAGAAAGAGTTTAGCACTGTTGTTGGCCACTTGTTTGGTATTTCTAACTAGGTAGCTGAGCACTCGTCACCAGACAGCTAAAAATAATCTGTTTTCTTTCTTAAATCATGACTATTACAAAAAAATTGCAGCTGTGCTTTTCCAGCAAATAAAAACAGCTTAGTAACATTCTCCCACTGTCCCAAGACAGATTTGTGAAATGTTCCACTGTTTGCCGAGTGTTTGTCATGATCGGACCATAAGTGATAGTTTAAAATTAACCACCCAGGAGCAAAATCAGCCTTCAAACATGAAAGAAATAATGATTTGACATTTATCGCGATATGTATCGATATCGAACGATACGAGTTTATCGTGATAACGTTTTTGGCCTTATCGCCCAGCTCTACTTGTTAGATATATTAGCACCATGCAAAACTTAAGAAGCAAGCTTCAGCTGCCAAACATATCTTGGCTGTTTGACTACATTTGGAGTAACTGTTTTAAGTAACAGGTTTAACAGAAAACTCACTCTCTTCAGGTATGGAAGGATCATCAAATCGCAGTTCCCACATCTCTGAGAGTCCAGTTAACCGCTTTGTCTCGTCAGCCATCACTGCCCTACAAAATATTCATTAAGTTGGATGAAAAGTTTGGGCACCCCTGGTCATGGGACATGTTTTGTTGATTTTCTAAGTGAAAATAAGTTAACACGCTTCTGCACATTTTAATACACAATTACTGTTTATCTGTGGAATTTAAAATTCTGAAACTTATTTTGTGGCTTGTGCAATAGTTATGGTTTTGATTTTATATTTTACATTTTTTTGCTCAGCAAATGAACAGAAATTGTGCACTAAAATGCACAGAAAATTGTCATTTTTATGTTTGTTTCTTGAAGAGAATGCATTATCACTAAAAAAAATCAACAAAACATGGACTTCGACCAGGATTATTTAAACGGTTGCATATGACTGATATATAGACACACACAGGAGAATACATAACACCAGGAGAACAGAAGCAGGATTGCTTTTACCTGAAATAGGGGACATCGTGCTGAGGCTCCACAGGGGCAGAGATGGGAGAAGGAGAGGCAGGAGGTGGGGGAGAAGAAACAGAAGGTGGGGGAGAAGAGGGAGTGACAGGGGCTGGTGCAGGATTGGATGAGCAGGATGGAGGAGAGGAAAGAGGAGGAGCAGCAGTAGCAAAGGATTCAGATGATGGGAGAGCCAGAATGGTAGACTCAGCCTTGCTTTCAAAACAGAAGCTAGAAAGAGCAAGAGAATACATTAGAATATTTCCAAACACCCCCTTTTTTAAAGCAAAATGTGAAGAAATACACCTCAAGAATACTTGGAATATGAAACAGGGCTGTCAAAAAAAATCTAAAATGCATTTGACATTCAGAGAAAAATGTACATTTGAATGTAGAACCTTTTTATTTGAATGATTAAATAAAGACTAAAGATCTGTGCCAGGACACAGTGATGACCGTGATACAGTCACTTCTGAATGCTTCATCCCCTTGTTTTCTAAAGGCTAAGCTGTTAAAGCTGCATAAATAAGGTCCAGATGATGCCAAAACATTCAAAAAGTGCTTTGCAGTGTCCTTTACTTTCACGAGTGCACTTTTCTTTAAAACCCTATGTATGCTATTCATTGTCAACATGCCTACTGCAATAAATCTGAACATTGTGAGCTTCTGAGGATGCTTGATATTTACACTGAGCGCCCTGCTGTTAATAGATAAGACTGACATAGAAATGTGGGGTTTAAAGCAGTCATTTAGCCTATTTTCTTTGCATTCTAAAAAATATTGCCGTATTAAAAAATAATAATGTACTTAAAATTCAAATATATTAAAATACTTGGGGGGAAAAAAGGAAAGATTATTTTAATCTGAGCCCAGCTGACAGCCCTGACATAAATATTGTTAAACACATCTCAGGTGAGTTTCTGACACAGGAATAATATGTACCTGGGTGAGAGGAAGGCATCAGCAGAGCGAGGAGAGAGGGGTGCAGGCTGGAAGGTTCTCAGACCACTAGGGGGCTGGAACACAAAACCTTGAGGAGCAAATGAAGTTGGAGTCACTTTGGCTTCTTCTACCTTCTTCTCCTTCACAGGAGAGGGATTTACTGTAGCTTCCTGGTGAAACACACCCCTCATATTTACCAACATTATCTCAAAGCACTCTATTCTGATGTACGGCATAAAAACCAAGACCAATCAGACAAGCAGTTAAATTCAATTTCACAGGTTTGCTTACCTTATTTTCAACAGCTGGCACAGACGCAGTTTCTTCTGCTAAGAAAGCAATATCTGGCTTATGTATATGCATTTATAAAAATTGTATATTATTTGCATACTGTCACTCATAAAATTTTGATAACTCATGAATTTCTTTTCCCCCACATTATTTAAAAACACCAGCTGCTCATGACATTTCATGATGAATGGACTAACAGAAATGGCCCAAAACTACATGCACTAAATAAACAAACATGTGTTTTTTAAAAGAAAAAGAAAGAAAGAAAAAAAAGGTACCTATAAAATGGTACTTCTTTAAAAGCTAAGATTTTGTTTTTACAGCAACAATACATAAAAATGTGATATGTATATAACAAATTTAACAATTAAATTAAATATTAAATTAGACTTCACTCTTCACATTGCTGATTGCTTTTACCTTGCATAGGTTTCCCTCTGCCTGCAGAGAGCGCTGCTGGCTGCCTGTTTGCAGATCTTGTTTTGAGAGCCCGGAGATCTAACAGCAGGTGAACACAGAAACAATAAATTAGAGAAAAAAGCAAAGACAAATAGAAGCATACGTACATCACAAAAGAACACATTATTCCTGAAAAACAGCTCAAGTAAACAGAAAAGTAATTAAAAGTGCACCTGAAGCAGGTTTAATCGCAGCTTTGGCTGGAACAGCTGCTGCTAAAGTCTTAGCAGCTGACCGTGTAGTTGGGACCCTGACAACTGGTTCAGCTGTGAAAGACATGAGATCTGGTGAATTCTTCCAACATTTGCTCATACAAACAGAGTAAATAATCGTCTTTAAGCCAAAAGCCATATCGTAAATGCTGTCAGAAATAGTTTACCTGCATCAGTTCTGCCTCTGCCTTTGGCTTTGGCTGCCGGCTTGTTAGCTCTAGCACTAGGTGCATGCTCAGCTGATGAACAAAAAAAGTGGAACAGGATTACTGCCTACAGAACTAAGAGCTTTCAAACAAACAGTGTTATTATACATTAAAATGTGCATACACTCTACTGTAAGATCAGACAGTTAAACGCAGACAAACCAAATCAAAGACAAAAGTCTTATACCTTTATTTGGTGCAGCTTGTTTCTCAGTTGGCAGCTGTGTTAGAAAGAGAGGAGACTTGCATAATTATACATACATATGCACTCATGTAAGTTAGTGAAATATTAGTGCTGTACAGTCAAAGGGGAATTCTACCGATTATTCAAAAATTTCTGCATAATAATTTGTTCAGTGTACCATTTTAGAGAAGCGTACCAAGTCAGAATCATTCACAATTGTGGTGACAGAAAACAGACATATGTAGAGTTTAAAGCTTCTAATAGCTACTTCACAGCAAGCTATTAAAAGAAAATAGTAATTTATACATTGCTTGCTGTCTGAGACATTGTTTTATGTTAATTTCGAGATACAGTTTTGGACTAAAACACTCATGCCATTCATGGTGGACAGATGCAGGGCATTTTAAAGTAAAAAAGTATTTTCTAAGATTACCATTTTAGTACCATTAGTAGTATTTTCTAATATTTATTACTGCTACAATCCCATTATTAACATTGCACGTTAAACATACATAAATAAATAAACAACTCAGAGGACGTGTGAAGGTTTAGTGGTCATTTTGGACAGCGTCTTATTAGAACCACTGTAAGGAAATCTGAGTCTGTTTGTCTACAATGAACCATCCAACATCAAAACACTCTGAATAACTTTATTTCTCAACAACCGCGTTATGCAGAAATCTAGAAAAATCTGTGGAATTCCCCTTTAGCACACAAACATACCTTCGGCTGCTGCTGCTTCATCGAACGAGTTACTCTGGTAAACTGCACAGTCTCTGTGTTCTGAAAGATGATTTTAGTCACTGAGTATTACAATCCTAATACTCAGTTTACACATAAATACAGGTTGAAGTGGAACTGTTTAACCTGCTCACCTTGGCTGTGCTTGGCACAACAGGATTCAAAGGCAGATAGCCCAGGGGCTGTGGGCGGTAGAGCCCGACCTTAAACACTCCTTTCTTCTCCTTCTCCCGCTTCTCTTTCTCTTTCTGCAGTGCTTTATTCTCTTTGAAACGTTCAAGCATCTTTTTCCTCTCTTCTACAGCACTGTTACCTGGTCATTAATCATAACCTGAAGTTATTTGTTGCACTGTACACTGTAATTAAAAAAACTGTGCTGCTTAACATGGTGGGCATGCTGAAGTTCAAACCAACACAAATGTGCTGAATGGTGACTGTCACTAAGCGAGAGAAGAGTGGGCTTACTTTTATCTGCGTTTGTTTTGCATCCGGTCCCTTGGGCATGGACAACGGACTTCTCAAGAGTTGACACATCCATTGAGAGCTCCAGCTCTGGGAGCTGGTCCAGGTGTCTGCGCTGGTTCTGCATCCTCTCCCTGTTCTCTTTCAGTGTTTGAGAACGTCTTCTGGACATCTTCACTCGTATCATAGAGACACTGCTGTCTCGCTTGTACAGATGTGCAAAGCGAGAGTCCATCTGCAAAGGACATATAACAAAAACATCTGATCTGTTTTTCGTACATTTAAAGTAAACTGGGGTGTGATGTTTTACAGCTACCACTAGGGCTGTCACAATCAAAACATTCTAGCTGACGATTAACTGTCAAATAATTGTGACTAATGATTTAAGTGTCTTTTTGCTTTTTGACTGTCTTCAACTATTAAAAGACAAGCCTAAATTGTCAAGATTGGACACCTTACTTGCTAGCTATGTTTACTTAATAGCTAGCACTGGTTGTACTGCCACCCACATCCACTAAGGTCATCATATTTTCATCAGTATAATGTTGATTTTGCACTTGAGACCTAAGCATTGAGCTGGACCTTCTTTTTGAGTCTGTGCATGTGACATTAATACATAATCACATATGATGTGGTTTGAAAAACTCCTGCGAAATTTGTCCCAATGCCTCCGACACATAAATTATTATTTATTCACACGCACACCAAAAATAAATAAATAAAACAAAACAAAAAAGACTTATATAGTCCTGCTTTAAGCAAAGCTGCATGTTCTTTATGAGATTGAAAATAAAAGCAAAAAGGACTGACATACTAAAAACATCAGAATTAGCTAAACAAACTTTATTCATTGCTGCCCTCTAAACTACCTAGAAGTTACATGGTAAACATGTTAAAAGAACTTTGTTTTCAGAAGCCCTTTTGATGTCTCAATGAATGGATTTACAGCTTATTTTTAGTTAGATTTCTGTGCCTCACACAACGCACCCATATTACATTTTGCTTGTTGCAGCACAATATGACAGATCTAACGACCGTGGAAAATGACTGCAGTCATTAATTACCATTATCCCAAACAATTGCAATCATCTATTAGCGACTATGTAATAATTGTGACAGACCTAGCTATCACTATTCTTGATTATGCTAAGCATGCAACTCAAGTGAGGTCAGTAGTTTCACGCAGCTGCACATTATGCCTACTAAACTAATTTAGACACGTGACGTTAAAACAGTAGAGGTCAGAGCAAACTCGTCAAACATGGCTAATAATGAGCAAAAGAAAAGAACAGGGGGAAAAATAAAATTAATTTCAGAAGTTGGATTAATGTATGGTTAGTTCACTGAAACAAAACAAAAGGCCCCTCACTAGAAAGCCTAAATAGGAAATTTTAAGCAAGCTACATGCTAATTTGTGAATAAAAATACTACAACATCAATGTTTACGTGCAACCTATTGCTATTTTAACATGGCACTGTATTACTGCCTAATAGGCCATAATAACAAACAGTGACAAACAATTTAAGTTTGAGGACTCAGTAAATAAGAAACCTGTAGCTAAGTTAGATATAGCTAACAAACAGTAGCGTTAAACAAATGATTTAGCCATACAAAAATCCAGTGGTGCAGGCTTCGCCTACAGTTTGGAGCTCCACTTTGGCTAAAAAGAGATAAAACAGCAAAATAATCAGCAAGCTAAAGTGACCTTACAAGCTAACGCTAGCTAGCTAATACAGCTAACGGACAAAGTAACTCTTGTTACGAACCGAACGATAGCTAACCTACTGTGTTAGCTAGTTGATACACAACCTAAAGTGTCTGAATCATTAAACCATTCAAATAATGTTAACGTTGGTTCGTTTTTACACCTACATTTTCTGCCCACTTCGTGCCCCTCTTCAGTATTTACTAACACGTAACTGACGTTTATCTGCTTTCTTGGGAAAATCACTTTTATGACCAAACTAACTGCGTGTCGTGTTTCCTGTTAAGTATTCTTACCTGTAACTTGTATTTTCCCGTATTAAAATTCCCTCTACTAAAATAAGACCTGTTGGTAATCCGCAGTAAACAGCGTCGAGCTGCGCGGCTCTGGTTTGAAAACTCAGCCCTCTAATCTGATTCGCTGATCGCAAACAGGAAGTCTGCACTGATTGGTTATTTTCGCTTGAACGTTGTCGCAACGTCCTCCAGTCGGAGTGAACGTTAAGGGCGGGGTTTAAGTGTTCGGCTGCGCCCTAAACCAAGTATCACACTTACCATACATACTGTAGTACACTAAAGCAGAGCCGGTTTAAGAGGAGCAGCACAAAAACAGGGCTGCAAAACAGCAGAGGGCGCCCGCGAGCGAGTCCTCAATGAATACGAGCAAAAGGAGCTCAACGGCTAAAAGCGAAAAGTTAAAATAGTTTCTAATCACTTGCCCAGATTTATTTTTTCATTTTAGAAAGTAGAAAGATGTTTTTCACTAAAAAAGCAAAGAAAACGTACCTATATGTTTTCTTTTCTACAGCAAACGGGTTTTGGGCAGCAGTACGCAGGCATTACTGCTACTGAGTGCTGATTGGTTGGCGAGCGGAGCAGCTCATTGGCTGTTCGCGCTCACAGACGTCATGGACGCACATGGGGCGCCGCTTTTAACTCCTATAACTCGAGTTTAAAAGCTCTTAAAAATATAACATCAGTGTTAAAATGTTTTATGCTATTCAGTGTTCAGGAAATGACTGTATCCTTTTACATATATAAACTATGACTTTTCTCAAATGCTCCATGTTAACTCATTCATTTTGGACTCGCTCGGGAGCGCCCTCTAGCGTTTGAGAAACCCGGAAGACATTACAGGGAGGTAATTCTCCTGTCCACAAGTTCTCTGTACTAAAGATGTGGTGGTGTTCTGTTTTGTGATTTAGTGTGGTAGTATCCCGTTTACAGATGTTAATGTCAAGTTACATCAAAAATACATAACAGACCAAAGGGGGGAACTGAAGATTGTAGTCCCAACTCTTTCTCTGCATACTTTCTTAGCCCTCTTCAGTGGTTAGGACCTCCACTGAACAGGTATTATTTGGATGGTGGATCATTCTCAGAACTGCAGTGACGCTGACATGGTGGTGCTGCTGGAGTTTTTAAACACTGTGGCCACTCACTGTCCACTCTATTTGAAAAACCTACCTTGTTGGGTCAAGCTTGTAAATGTAAAGTCAGAGACAATAGCTCATCTGTTGCTGCACAGTGTGTTAGTCATCCTCTAGTCCTTAATTAGTGGTCACAGGAAGCTTTGGCTGAATGTTTTTGGTTGATAGACTATTCAGAGTCCATCAGTGACACTGAGGTGTGCACTGCTGTGTCTCATTCTCTCATACCAGCGAAAATGTGGCAATGAGGAAAAAAAACATAAAAAAAGATGAGACTTGAATATAGCCAGACTTAGTTAATGCATGTCAGTTTAATTTTGTGGCTTAAAAGGAAGCAGAACAGAGTGAATGGCAATGGCAAGAAAGAATACAACAGCTGACTGATAAACATTTCAATATTATATTTATATATATATTTATATATGTACATACAAACATCAGTAAAATTTTGATTTTACAATTAATTACAAGAATGCAGTCACTTTTTTGTATAGATTAAATAAAAATCTTAAAAAATTGCATAATATGAAAAGTAATTTTTACAATGCAATTATTGCATTACACTGATGCTGTCATTAAAACATGAACAGCTGACAGTTTTAGTGTAGTCATATCCCTCTCGATCTCTGATTGTCCTCAGTCCAAGAAGAAAATGTTATTGAACTGTGTTGCACACAGTCTTTTCACCTCCTCTGTAAAGCAAAAAAGGAAAAACGTCTTACACAGTAACAAAAACAGTCCAATAAACCAACCAAGCAATCAGTCAATAAACATTGACACCTTTTAAAACCACTTACTAAAAAAAAAATGCAACTATATTTCAGTCAGTGCACAATAACATACCATTCACTTCGATCAAGTTGGCATTCTTCTGGTTCAAAATGACATACAGTTCCCTCTGATCCGACTTCTTGCCCACAACCCAGTAATCGGTCATCGCTTTTACAATGATCTCCTCATCCTCATCAACCCTGAGAGATAAGAGAGAGGGGACAAAAAGACAATGCAACAGTTAAACTCAGAATTTTGATAATGCTCAGCATCATTCTAAACCAATTTAATACATTCCCTACAGGGAACACACCTCTGCAAATTTCAATTACTTTTTTTTTTGCTGAATTTAATGTATCAGGGAAAAAAATAAACATAACATGTGGCCTGTGCAATAGTTATGGCACATTTTTTTTTTATTTTGTTCCAATTTGTTACACTGGTAAATGTCATAATTGTTCACTATGTAAACTTATTTTCACCTGAAAAATAAATAAAACATGTAATTTGACCAGCGATGTCTGACTGTATTTGTCAGACACATCAAATAAAGCATCAGTGTCTGATGTAGCAAATAAAACTTGGACCAGAACTGAGAAGGTGGCGTGATTCAAGATAAAATTTGATTTTTATTATTTTATTTAGTAGTGAGGAAACGCTGTTGGACTGACCCCCTGCAGCTTCCCAGATTAAAGCTTTCAAACTGCACATCTAAAAGGATGATAAATTAATGACTGTTTTATAAAATCTATGATTTATTAATGTGGTGCTTGAAGTCTGATCACCCTGTGTGACTGCTAACAGACAAGCCATACTGGTCTTGTGTAATTTGGTGTTACCATTGTTAATGTAACCACTGTTCAGGGAATCGTCACTGATCTCTTTTTTTTTTTTTACTGAACACTGTATAATACCATATGTTATATTGTTTGAACATACGTAGTGGGTTTAACTCTGTGTCACATCATGCCTAGCCTCACCTTTAACCTCCTTATCCATCTTAAAAATCCTTGTAAAACAGATTATGGCTTATAGCTATAATATGCCAGTGCTGCCATCTCTGTGCAAGATCACACAAACCCACAGGCGACAACTCTATCGAGCAGTTTATGTTTTCTCATTAAGTGTTGTAGGGGTGTGGCTGTGTATGCATAGTAAAGCTCCAGGGAAGTTTATTAATGTGATGTGTTTACACAGAAAACCATGGCTCAATGGTCCGAGACCACTTGAAATGCTGAAACGGTGTGAAAATGCCTTAAATCTACCCTCCCTGTACAGCACTGTGTAGTGTGGAACAGTATAACCAGCCTTCTCAAGTTAATCAAGTTAATCATACTGGGTTGTATGGGAGAGGGGAATTGGTATTTGCTTGTTCCATCACTACAGTGTACTGTAATATACAGAGATGGAGCATACCGTGCAAAGTCACAGTTGATGTCTCCAAGGATCTTCATGAGGTCAGGGTGAACGGAGGTGAGGGACACGCTGGCCGTCTTGCGCATGTGGATGGTGCTCTTCTCAGCCAGGTTCATGTGGTTAAAGTATATGAACTTAAACTGGGGTTCCTTTTCTGGCCTAGCCATACAAATGCAACACATACAGGCTTTATTGGCCACGAGATATTCAAATAAATATACAGAAATGCACTGGATGGTCTACTCATGCCCTAACAGTAACAGGTTTACTCAAACCACTACAACAGACTTTCAGTGTCAGAAGTGAAATGATCCCCAAGCTATACCTCCTGGCCAAACAGCCACATGGCCAAGAGCTCAGATCAACAGATGAAGAGATAACAGTGGTAATAAATGTTCTTTCCCACCAAAACATTCTACATGGGTGTTATTTTACCTTAAATATTTTAAACAGAGTTTGTGAAACAATAAAATGGACCATGCACCCTATTGCATGGCAGCATATTTTGCACTGTATCTTCTCACATATTTACACTGAGAGTTTAAAGTGTCATTCTCATGGCAAACGTTCATTTAACATGTTTTTGGGGCTCTCTCTAACCACTGCATCTGCTGCCACTGTTAAAGTCCATCAACATCACATCTTTTGAGACCCTAACACAAATTTATACATCATTAAAAGTTGAGGAAAATCAGAGCAAAACCAGAGCAAAACCAGCCACTCCTAGTTGCTCAAACTTTAACATATCAAGCGGAATGTGTAGTTACACGTGTAACATCACCACCAATTTTTGCATGATCATTCCATGTTCCAAGCTTTATGTTATCATGTTCATTTTCAAATGCAGCTGGCTAGTAAGTTTCAGAAGGCTGTGGATTCTTACTGACCCTGATATCCTCCGGTTGATGTTGTACTGTTCACAGATGTCTGAGGCTAGCAGAGTGAGCTGAGGACCAACCAGAGCGTCCAACTGCTCACAGAACTCCCGAGTCAACTCCACTGATGCTGTGAACAAGATTAGAATGAAAACAGAGATGTTTAACTGTGAACTGGTTAATTATATCAAATTATCTAATTTCTTTAAATAATTTTATTGTAATCTACCCAAGAAGCACAAAAGCTTTTAAATGAGGCACTCACCATTTATCATAAAGCACACAGCTGCACTCATTGCCTGCAAGACAGATCATGGAGTAGTCTTAAAATTTTCAGAAACATGCTGAATCTGCAATCTGTTTTTTCTTCAGCCGTGTAAACATGATGGTATGAGTCAAACTAATTAAAAGGAAATTCCACAGATTTTTCAAAATTTCTGGTAAAACAAAAGTTTTGATGTAAAATCTATCTATTAATGGTGGACAGGTGCAGGTTCAGATTTTACACTATTTTAATTAATATTACACATAAAACCGCAACCCCTGCTTCCTATCAATACCAAAGTAAAGAAAAGTTGGTATGTATGTCTATAATGAACCATTCAAACTACTCTGAATGACTTTGTTTATATCTTAGTGATTAAATTATTATATTCACAGAAATTCTGAAAAATCTATGGAAATCTTTAAATATTGACATTAACACAATAATAAAATACTACTTGACAATATAAAATCTCACTTGCTGTTGTTGCTCACTGTATCAGACATTAGGAAAACTAGCCAAAGAGTGAGCCTAAATAGGGTTTAGGCAACTCCTGATAGGCTATTATCATAAACAAAAAAGAATATACTATTATTATTATGTTTAGGATAGCCAACTAACAAAGTATAATTTTCCTGTTGATCTCACCTTGTAAACTATCAAATGGAGCTCCTCGTAGCTGTCCTCTGTGTTCACAAATATTCTTGGAAATCTGAATTTCGCCTCTGGATCTTTTAAGTTGGCAGGTCCAGTTAAAAATCTAGTTAACAAACAAAAGCAAAAACAAACAAAGACAATTAAGTTACACATTACGACCTGACTGCGGAATTTACATAACAATGTATATCTAAATATTAGTATACAAAATATTTGGCTGCACATATTTTGCAGATACGTATACACACCGTCTATGTGCCAGTACCTTTCTGTGTCTCCAGGTTATTTTGTATTTATTGTAGTGTCTGTATTGTCTATTTATTGTTTTTTTTTTTGTAGTTACTGTGTATATACATAATGTCTGTCATCCCACTAGTACACGCACACTCATGTCCTTGTCTTAATGTTCATGCACCAGAGAAGTAGCTCAAGCATGTTTTATTATACTGTACCACTGAATATGTATAATGACGAAGTTGAACTAAATTAGTAAAAAAATGTAATACAGAGAGCACAGAGTCTATTTCTGTTTGATACAGACGTATACAATTTATAAATAAAATAAATAAATACACAGGAAACATATCAACAGAAAATTACACAAGCCTTCAACACCAAGTATAATATCAAATCTGTTAGTATCTAATTAGTTCACTCCTTACTTTTGTGGATCGTACCACCCCTTTAACTTATCCATTCTCCCAATACTAAAGCAAGCAAGTTATAGCTATGCCCTCCTAACAAAAGCTGTTCCCAAAGAAGTCGCTGACCTGATGTTCCCCTTCAAAGTGGCATTTACATTCACACATTCAACTACCTAAACACAACTACCTTCTCATGTACATCTAAAACGGCTAAAGGAGATATTTCTGAGAAGATTAGATATATAATAATCCACTTGCATAACTACGGAGAAAGTCTGAGAAAAATAAGTGGAAAAAAACAAAGGTTTCCAAAACTGGGGTTAAAAGATGTATTAAAAATATACAGAAAATGGAACTCCTCACAAGCATGCAAGACCTGGTAGACCACCAAAACTGACACCATCAGATAAACAGTACTTAAAGCTTTCAACTTTGAGAGAAAGGAGAAAATCAAGCTCCACTCTTGATTCAGATCAAAATAAAAATCCACAGGGGTTTCTGTCCATCCTTCCACAGTGAGAAGACAACGCTATGAGTCTGAAACAATGTGTAGCTGTCAAAAAGCCATTACTGAGAAAATGAACTAAACAAAAAATATGCGACTGTGAACTAGAACACCAGAGTCTCCATTTGTAATCATGATTGCTTGTCATAAGAAGCAGAAAACTGCAACCAACTTCTAAGGCTGAACTTTGGAAGCATGTAAAAATATCCCTGCAGATTTCTTTGAAAAACAGAAATCAAGTTGTAATAAAGGCAAATGGTGGACATAATAAATAATGAAAAAAATCTAATTGTTGAGGCTTCCGTGTAATTATCTGTTAAATATATGTTTTCTGCTTTTTTTTCTGATGCTGAGTTATTTGGACTTAATGGCGGTTTTGACCAGAAATTAAATAAATGAAAGGGTGGTCTTTTTTGCACAGTACTGTAACAATAACAACGCATAAATAAATAATCCTTTTTATATAGAATCTAGAGAATAATCTCTTTTCTCAGGCACTGGTCTAATATTTACCGAGACGTGACACTACTGGCCTGTAATCACCTTGTGACCAGATGGCTTTGTAAAGGAAATGTTCAATCCGCTGATTACTAGTGTGTGAGTGTATGTGTGGCTAACTAACACTCATGCTACATTATCCTCATAGCCACTCTCAGGGGTCGACTTCCTCTCAGTCTCACATAACACCTTAGAGTTGGTTCAGGTAGTGTTTGCATAATGTTTGTAGAGCACACACATACAGTCACTGTTGCCTGACACTGTATAAGAATTCAGCACACATTTCTTAATCCTGCTCTTGGTCCGGCACAGTTTAGGTATTCCTTTACTCAATAAACCTGATCCCGTTCATCAGTTGACTATTGGGCTCACATCCAATCAGCTCTTTGCTATAGGTGGGAAAGGGCCCATATTCCACAATTTTTCTTGCATTTTTTTCTAGTCTACTTATTGGGTTTATGTGACTTTATATATCAAAAACAGTCCTAATTCATTTTACACAACCATTTCCAAACCACTCTTTATGACTTTTTGAATTTTTAATTAAACAGGCTGATTTTGTTACTGTGCCTTAAAAACCGAAGTAGGTAAATTACTTCTGTTCTAATCGCCTGTGTCTCATTCAAAAAGACATCTGAGCTAAAACACTCCTTATACCTTCTTGGGACTAATCTGCTGTAGGCTGACTAAATGGATAAACGTAAATGCGCTGGTTTTCATGTCATCACGAAAACAGTGAATTCCACAAGCTGTATTTGCAGCTTAGTTTTGAAATACGGACAGCAATGTTTACACACTGCATTAAGCCTATGTTTAGAAATAAAAAGTGAGTAATTTTTTAAGGTTTTCCTTTAATTGAAAACTTTAATAATTTACTGTGCTGACATGTTGTCAAAGTTAACATGTTAATTTCACTAGTTTGAAGTTTTTTGTAGTTTTTCACTGGTGCTAGAAGGATAATATTGGAAACAAGTAAGGGAAGCTTATACTCCACCAATTAGGATGCCTAAATCATCACACATGTGCCTCATCCACTTTGCATGAAGCTTCCATTACTTGTTAGCTACATTAGCCTCGTAACTCCAGCTCAAAATTAAAGAAACAAACTTCACTTTAATCAGGCTGCTTGATAAGAGCAAAGGCTCTGGCAGGCCCGTGCACACCTACTGTCAGTAAAGTGCAACATACACTGTGCTGGCACACCTGCTGATCTATAATCCAGCATTAGTTACAGAATTAACTGGAACACTTTTGTGTTTGGGGCTCACTGTTGTTTGCCTGCCACCAAAGCACTTCAATTACTCTTAAGCTACCTGATCACAGGCAGTCTATCTGAGTTGGGCTTCACTGACCAAGCCCAATGTCTCTGACACCTCAATCCAGCACAAGCAAGGATCAGTGCTGAAGATACTCCACTTACCTCCCATAATGCAATAGATTCCCTGCTACCTCTGGCCTCAAAGGAGAGTCCCTGCCTGCAAGCTGCAACACCAAACACAAAAACATAGTCACTGAGGGGTGACACTATATTAGAATTCAGCACGCATTCCACTAAAGTGGTGTTTCTTGATTCTGCTCTTGGTCCTGCACAGTTTCAAGCATTTCTTGACTCAACAAAACTGAGCCAGTTGTCAAACAATTTGGAATGGACAAACTGTTCATTAAATAAAGGTTATGAAAAACTATGAGTACCATGACATTCTTTTTTAGTCTATCGCCCCTTTTGTGGATAGCTTCTTTTTGAGACCTAAACATCAAACATGAGCTTGTGCGTGTGATGTTAACACGAAGACATATGACAGGGTCTGAAAAACTGAAATCTGACCCAATGCCTCTAAGTTTTACATTATTTCAGGCTATACAGGGTAACCACCTGCAACAAAAAAAGCTTACACTGTGCAATTTAACAATCTTTCTGCTGCCACCTTAGCACTCCCCTGCAGTTTGAAAACTGCTAGCCTAAAAGTATTTTTCCAAAGAACAACTTGAGTAGTACAAAGTACAAAAATACCAGGTCAAAAAACTACTACAGTGGAACTGTTTAGTTCATCCAGCATCTTATCTGCAGGGAAACTGAGGTTAATCAATTTCTTTTTGAAGCACTTTTCATCTAAAACAAAAGGCAGAGGTATGACCCATCAGAAAGCACAAATGCTATCACAAACATAAAAGAATGACAATCACAAAAAGAAATAGCAATTGTAAAATATAAAGGAGCAAAAGGTAGATTTCTTTCCTCACAAATATACTAAGTAAGTGTATTATGACCTGGAAATGATACGGAAAGTAAAAAAATCGATCAAAAACGTCAATCAAACAAAAGGCCAGTTTCGAAAATGTTCATACCTCAGGTTCTGTGTGTCTTGGGAACAGTGAAGTCGTCAGGTATTTGTAAAGAATACGCATGTCATCTTGCTCCAGCCCACTCCTGCAAAAGAAAAACCATCTATGAATCAACACAACACAGTCTATTATTAAAAAAATATTACGATTACTTGGTAAGTTCATTTTTGTCATTATTCAGTTTCTGACATAAGTTGAAAATGCCTGTTGTCCTTTACATTGTGTGTAAATTTTATGATGAATGGACCAAAAGAAATGACCCAAAACGACATGGAAAAACATCTGGTTTCATTGACTTACAATTGACTTTGGGTATAAAAGGGGCATTCAAGGTTCAGTCACTACTTCGTGAAAAACTGTGTGAGTGAATAGTGCAATAGTTTAAGAACAACATTTCTGTGTGCACGATTGCAAGGAATTAAGGGATTTCACCATCCACAGTCCATAACATTATAAAAATATTAGGGAATCTGGAGCAATTTCTGTCTGTACAGGGCAAGGCCAAAAAACAATACTGAATGCCTGTGACCTTCCATCCCTCAGATGACACAGCAGTAAAAACCAACATGTTTCTGTAATGAAATAACCACATTTATATTCTGAGGAATACTTTAGAAAACTTTTTTGCAGTGCTGAATTTATCTGAAGTACACGCTAAGCAGTAATGAGTGCATTTCTTCAACATACCATATAAGCTGGTCATTGTAGAGGAAGGCTGTGTATTTCACCAAGCTCAAACTCTCCTCTACTCTGTTGACAAAAGACTGGATCTTCAAGTAGGTCATCTTGTCCAGAGGGAAGAAGCTGATCCCCCCAAACACATCCAGCAGGTCACATGACTGAAGGTGCAGTGTCTGCAAGTACTAGAGTAAGCACAAACGCACAGTAAGCTAAGCATGCAATCTAGCTAGCCAAGCCTACATTAAAACACAATAATGATACTATCAGTGATACAAACTTCAAAACAAAGCACTTCAAAATGTATGTTCTGGGTATTTCACCAATTTTTCAAAATTTGTACATAATTAAATAATTAAGATGTAAGTAAATTCCCAGTGGGTTGACATTAAATGCTCCATTCTAGAGAAAATTACCATGTTAGGATTGTTCACAGCAGTGGTAATGGGAATCAGACATTGGAAGTATTTAATGCCTCTAAAGGCTCCCTCAAGTTATTACAAGAAATAGCCATAAAAAGTTGCCTGATGTCGAAGACATTTTTTTACAGTCATTTTGAGAAGATTTTTGGGCCTAAAATGCATTATTTTTTTAAACAAAAAGAAGAAGTACACGAAGGGCAATGTAAGACAAAATAGTCCCAAAAAACAAAACTTTTTTTTCCAGATTTATCACTATTATATCATTATCAACATTACATAAAAAACGGATATGCAGGTTCACTGATCATTTTGGATAGTAAATAACAAGGTTATACTTGTTGTAGACATTGCGATCCCTGGTCCCCATCACCACCACTACAAAGAAAACCAAGGAGGCAAGTTTCTCTACAATGAAGCATTTTACATCAAACCAGCGTGGCTTTGTTTACATCTCAACGAGTGAATTATGCTCCTTTAAGGAGCGGTCACTGACACACACTGGCCAGAATTCTATAAAGAAGAATAACAACCACACTATAATCCTGGATTCTAGAAGTAGCTAACATAAATACTTCTCATAACAACAGTCGCTATAATAGTTACCTTTTATACTGGACTTTGTCACTAGCATTTCAAAAAAGAACTAGTAACGCCTGCAAGTGATTATGGTGATTATGGCGAGTATGGATGAGCCTCGGTGAGGCTGACGTCACGTAATTTGACGATGGGGAACACTGAGAAGCTGTACTGGTGTGACTTTGCAGAGCAGTCATTGACATTTCACCTTGGGAACACATTACACTTTCACTGAGAGCACTAAGCTAGGGCTCAGGTTTGGGAGGAGGTGACAAGGAGGGTTTCCCCTGACCGGAGCTGAATTATTCAAACAGGTGAGTAAGCATGATTCCTTCAGTGGGGAAATTTGAACCAGAAGACTGATAAGACAAGCGTCTGTTCTGTACAAATGAGACTGTGGACTGTGCTGCTAATAGAAGAGAAGAAAATTAAAGCTACGGTTGGCCGGGAGGTCAATCATATTCCTGAGCAGGGGTCACACTAATGAGCTGTCAAAACACAACAACCTTACTGCAATAGTACTTTTTTATTTTCCGGTCTGGAACGAAACAAAATCAATAAAATCTAATATGAAGCGTGAATGTCATTAAATGTTTTACATTTTTAAAATGCCAACTACCTTGTCATTGTGTGAACACTGCATGACAACTAGACCAATAAAAATAATCTAAAATCACTTGGAATAAAATATTATTAGTTTAAAGAGCCCATATCACAGACAGTAAAACTTTCACTCATTTTGTTTTTTTTTCCCCAAACAAAAGAGTTTAATGTAGTACGTAAACAGTTTCAAAATGCCATAACTTTCCAGTCCACACAGCCTATATCTGAACACTAAACTTCAAAAACAGCCTGTTTTGAATTCACCGTTTCTGTGATGTAACTAGAACCAACTTATTTACATCTATCCGCCTATTCAGCCTACATTAGTTTACTCGTGCAAGTTAATACTGAAGTTCTAAAGAGTGTTTCAGCTCTGAGTGTTTCTTTGATGAGAGATTTTACTGCACCATCAGAATCAGAGCTCATTTATATCAGTCATAAAAGGACAGTAACAAAAAAAACTGTTTAATAAAGAGATAAAAAGAAGAAGTTGGAAAATGATCATGTAGAAATTAATTACAACCATTTTTGCTATATGAAAATCACACAAATGTTAAAAGTGGACCTCTGGGACAAAGTACAACACAAGAAAAATGTAGGACATGGACGCTTTAATGTACATTTAAGTTAAACAGTGTCTCTAAAAAGTTTCTATTTTAGATAGGTTATTACAATACCAATGACAACACAATAATACGCTACTCACACTAAACACACAATACACACCCTTACACAACTTAGTGACTAATGTGGTGAGGATTATGTTCTCAATTAATAGTTTATTTACCTTATGTTTATTTATCTTACCCTGTAGAAGAACTTTTCCAGCTTTTGCCTAAGTAGCTCCACTCCACCAGCCTCAAATGCCCTGCTGAAAGTGCCATTGAAGAGCTGGAGACAAAAACAAGGGCACAGGAACATATAACTCTGACTAAGAAAACAAGCTCAACACACAAAATAAGGGACTTTAGAATCAGGGTCATATCAAATGGAATTTACCTTATACATGCTGTAGCACTGCTGTAATACTGCCCCATACACAGAGTCCTTTAAGAAAGAAGTAAAAAAATGCTGTCATACTTGTTCATGGTAATATACGCCGAGACCAAGTGTAAGACATTTAAAAAGACAGGCTAAGAAATAATAAGGTTCACCACAACAAACAAAACCTCAAGAAAAATACGAACGAGAATTTCCTCTTCTTGGTATTCTATAGTTGGCGGCTTCCCATCCTTGCTGGGTTTTTCTATCATTGGATTCCGTACGACCTTAAAAGACAAAACACAGGAAAATTTATTGATAAACTTACCTATTGCTCCCAACCTTAATAGGAAAAAAAGGCATTTAAATGCTCACAAAGGACTACAAGTTGCGTTATTAATTTTAATAAAATACATATATGCTATAAAAAGGCTTTTGCTTAGGTACCATGACCATCCAGAAATTCTCCTCTGGCTCATGGAAGAACTGCCTGTTTTTCTGAGTGTGAAGGGACTTCGCTGGCTTTGTGGGACAAAAGGTCCTAGAAACATGTTATAAAGAGGTTATTCCTGGACATAAAATATCAACAGATTAGACCAATTCAAGCTTGTTTTATACAAAAAAAAATCAGGCAGAATAGTAAATTAAGCTGAATGTTTCTGCCATGCAATTTAGACCATTCACTTGTGATCATAAGGGTGAAACGTCAGGGGAAGCTTAACTCACTTTGTTGCTGCAGGGCTTGTATTAATATTGTTCGCCATTTTAAACATTTTTTATTGATTTTATTACAAAGAAATAAAAAAATGCAATCGACAGCCCCTTATGGACCACTTGCTTCCCCTTGGCATAGGTCCAAAGACTACAAGAGGGTTGTTCAGTCCACAGCCCACAGGTTGAGAAACCCTGTACTACACGATTACCAAAACATAAACTAAATAAACGAATACAGTGGCTTCACACGTGAACAGGTGATGATCATTACGACTTAATACAAAACAGAATCTGCAATCTGAATGTTTATATTGTTGTTATTATTAATCAATATTACTGAATTACAGAGTCACATTCTCAGTCAAATTCCCAATTCTTAGTTTATTCTGCACCTCATAAGGTTAGATGGCTTATAAATACTGCACACAATGCTCACCTGGTAAACTGAACAATGGCCTCACAGAGTCCAACATTGCGAATCTTTTCATTCTTCTCCACTTCACTAGGATGGTAAAATAAGATCTTTTTTTCCTCCTACAGGACACATAACCAGTCATTTGAACAAAGAAGCCATCACTGGCCTTTTAACTTACATAACTAGTAAAGGTTATCATTAATCCGGCCCATACTGTAATATGCCTCTTGAACTAAAATGCAGCACATAAACTGAACTGGCACTTGTTAACATAATTGTATTTCATGTGTCACTGACATGTCATAAGATTTCAACAGTTCTCATTTTGTCGTCTGATAAATCTCTGGAGTTCAGGTTTTCTGAAGAATCACAAGCTATTCTTGTCAGCATTGTTAAAATATAATGTTGTCCTCAATTAGCTCTGGTTCTGTTTCATAGAGCAGATCTCCTTATAAAGCTGTCTTGAAAGTGGAAACAGCTCATACCTCTCCCTCTCGTGGTCCAAACTTAGGGTTATAGATGAAAAAACTTAACAGGGATGGAGTGTACTGTTTTTCTTGCATTCCAGAAGCCATTCTTGGGCTGAAACAGGAGAAAGTTAGGGATAACATGAAGTTGAAGTTACTATCTTATTACAAATCAATTGGAGAACGCAGAAACTTTGCTTAAATCTTAATCAGCATGTCAGTACCTAATCATCAGCATTTGAGTGGTGTAGGTCTAAAGTTCGTCAGCTTTTCAAGCAGTCTGATGGGCATGCCTTTGACCTGTAGCAACAAAGATTGGCAGAAAGGATACCTTTCAGTAGCACATACCAAGACCATAAAACCTGGAACACACACACTATATGGGCATAAATATGACCAAAGTGTGGACAACCCTTTTTATTATGGAATTCCAGTACTGAAGGGCTTGCTTCACTAATTAGAAGGGGTGTCTAGATACTTCCAGACATAAAGTGTGTGTACATCCACACACTACACATACAAACACACAGCCCTACATATACAACACATATCATACACACACAATTGGCAAACGTTTCTACGGAAAAGATGATGAATAGTCTTATGGGAGCCAATTCAGCCAAATTTCTGTATAATTCAACTGTTGACATGAAATCATTCAGAGTAGTTTGATGTAAAATGGTGTCAGATTTCTTTACAACGGTGGCAATAGTTAAGTTGCAATTATCTACTACACAAATACAGGTATTTAATTTACTATCCAGAACAAATCTATATACATGTGTTCTGAGTTTTAAATGTATTCTTTGGGGACTATTTTGGATCATTACACCCAGTATGTACCTCCCTGCCATTATTGTGGCTTTACAAAATACATTTCAGGCCAAAACCTGGTCTCAAACAATCAAAAAACAACATCTCAGGCATCATATTTGTAACCATTTAATATATACAAATTTTCTTGCTAGGTTGCTACTGGAGGCATATAACACTCAAGAAGTCTGGTACCTATCATCACTGTGAAAAATTCTGAGTCTGTAAGTTTCTCTAGAATTGAGTATTTCACATCAAATCACTCTGAATGACTTTGTTTACATCTTAACCACTTAACTGGGTAGGTATTTTGAAAAATACGTGGAACTGCCCTTTAAGTTTCAATCTAAGCTGCTGGAACTGGAGACCCACACTGCTCATTGCCCGCAGCAGAGCTAACTGCAAGCCAGTAGAAAGCAGAGTAGAGCTAAAAGCACTGCGGAGTGAAGTCTCTCAGTGCTCTTATGTGTACAGAGAGTATAGCTCAATTTCTGTCACACCTTGTCTGATATTAGAGCTCAGTCAGCAGACACACAGTGGGCTGAGCAGTCTGGGGTTAAACTAGTTGAGGTGCTTTTAAGAAGTTCTGAGCAGTTAAACTGCCACAGCATCAGTCAAATCAACGCCTATTCGGTGAACATGAACTACTGCAATAGGAGTAAATAAATAAATGAACAACACAGTAAACTAAGAGCCTAAGCACAGCTAGCTGGCTGCGGCTAAGCTAATTAGCCCACTGTGCTAGCCTGTTAGCCTCTTTAGCTCCAGAACATGAACGTTCCCTCACAGTTTCAAGGCTTCAAGCCCAGAAGACAGAAGCTGAGCTTACCTCTTACAGCATGGCAGTGTAGAAGACAAAAACGAGCAAGTTTATTATTTTATAAATAAAGAGTGAATATCAATGAGACTCAACAACACAAAACACTTCTTCCTCCTGACGGAGCTCCGTGTGTAGCTGCTAAAACCGCCCGGGTAGATGAATTGCGGTGTGACACATAGTTCCACATCATCATTCAGCCCGGCTCTGTTTTACTTCATGCTAACGGGAGTTCCAAGCATCGACTTTGAGGACGACAGTCGTCTGACCCATACGGGTTTCATACGAAGCCTAGGTTTCCTTTCTTTTCTCACTGAATGAGCATGTATTCTTTAAATACACACTTTAAATATATTATTTAATTCCAAAATGAATTCCAAACACTAAAGTAAAAAATGTGATAATAATAATAATAATAATAATAATAATACATAAACCAAAGGCTGTTTTCATACATTTCTAAAGATATTTGAGATTTTGTCAGTGAACCATTTAAAGGAACAGTTCACTGACAAAATCTAATGCACAAACTTTCTCCCATACTCCAAATTTAGCTGATCTAGCTGAGCTACTAGTTCTGAGACTTATGTAGCTAAAATTAATGTAAGTCTATGACACCGACATGTTTTGGTTATTATATTATATTATATTATATTATATTATATTATATTACGTTTCATGTTGCTCCAGTGCAAAAGTCACGTTGTGCAGCTGCATTTTTTAATTGTCTTGTTATATATTTGGTAGATCCAATTATAATATTACTGAACAACATATAATTAGAAGTAACGAGAAAGTGCCAATCAGAAGCTGTTGCTGAACTACATTTTCAATTGCAGTGCTCTAATGGATTCAGAAACCCGAGTGAGGTGTCTGTCAGGCATTGAGAGGCCCTCTCACTGTAACTTATACCTACACTCACTGTCCCGGTCCTTTGTGTCTCCTTAGTTTGCTTTAAATTTTAACTCTGCTATTCTGAAGCCCATTGCTGGATCTTCCGTGAAAATAGCTCACCTATCAATTATTCAGTAAGTAAATTTGAAGGGTGCATCATTGGAACTGTGAACAAAGGAAGTAAATGAACTGACTTACTAAAATGATACAAATTCTAAATGTAGTAACTTATTCTAATGTTACCCACCACATTTTTCTGCTCAGTTACACAGATCTCTGTAGATATTTGCTTATTTTTCGTCTGTCATCAAAATATCACTTTATTTTTAAATTCTATAAAACATATAAAACTGACTTCTTTGGAGACTGTAGTGCTTCTTACCCATAAAGTGCAATTTCTGCCTATTTTGAAACTCCCTCATTTGAACTATGCATTTGTTTTATTTAATGTTGATGGAATATATTTGTATGATGGAAACATGTTTGATTTATAAAACCAGAAGCAAATTGGATTTTCATCTTTGTAGGTGAACATTTCAACATTTATTAAAGTGTTTTTATTGAGTCAAATGTTAGTTTTTATTGTGGCAGTTTTAAATGATTGCTTGATATGAGGACAGCTGCAGTTGTGCTGCCTGTTAAGCTGCAGACCTTTTCACACCACAATGCCTGCTGGCAGCTCAACATGGAGTAACAACATTTCACACACAGAGGGCCAACAGTGTCCTAGTTAATCTAATAATGGAGTAATGGAGGGAAATAATTTTATTTGGTCATGTTCAAGCTTCACTATGTAAGATTTGGGGATTTGGAGACCTCTCTGGTAGAAATGTGTATTGACAAGCAATGTGCAGAAGAACATTTTGCAACATTTGTGCTTTGGATTCCCATGAGCATATGAATCCAATTATTGTGAGTGCGCTGAAAGAGTATCAAGAGAGAACTCCTCTTAGCTGTCTTCTGAGCTTTTAAGTCAATTATCTTCTTTAGTATAATGACAATTTTGCATTTAAGACCTAATCATCAGGCTGGACCTTCCTTTTGACATGTGTGTAGTGTTAATATGTAAAGACATGGGATGTGGTCTGAAAAACTCATGCGAAATTCGACCTGACACCTCAGTCTTTTAAACCATGATTACAGACAAGGCGACTCGCTGCAGTTCATCTCAGCAGTTTTTTTCTCCTGACTCAGTAATGCTACTTCCTCAGTTTTAACAAAAATATTACATGGTGCTGCTTTAATTACAAACATTTTCATTCCACCAGCAGAACAACCAGTGGAGGTCATGCAGAAAGTTGTCATTTTTGGAGACACTAAGTTTGAACAGCAGTGATATAAATGCAGATATTACAAGTGTTGGAATACTATTGCTGTTGTTTGGAATCTGATTATTAACTCTCTGTGTGTCCTCAAACATGACATCAGATAAATGCAATTATATATCTATATGTATGAGTCAAACGACATTAATTAAGTTGAAAAAGAAAACTTTTCAATATGCAACACTTGCATAGAATTCTGTTTAAAGTCCAGTTCATCATGAATGACTGAATTAGTACAAGCTAAAGAAGGTTTTAAATGACATGGCACCACATGCTGCAGTTAAAGTGACTTTATTTATTTCCCTGAACAGTTTTGTCCTTGATCATGTGGGGTGAGCACTGGGACAGCAGCACAGACATGTGACACGTACTCACAAGGCAAATAAAAATTACTGTGTGCAAATGTTGGTGTTTGAAAAATATTTCAGAGATTAATAGCAGCAGGACAGATGGAGCCACAGTGCATGCTGCAGGTGGAAGAGTAGAATCGTAGTGTTGGAGGGCTTCTTTTAGGACAGGACCATAGTCTGGAACTCTGAGGAAGGAGTGAACAAGCAGCATGAATATTGCTATTACAATCTTATTTTAGCATCATAAAGTGTAATACCATTGTTGTAATATTACTGTGTTATAACATCACTATAATGTAATAATAAAACTAACAATAAATTAATGACATAACAATAACAATAAAAAGTAGAATGTATGGCCATAAGTACACACTTGAATATGGCATATTTCTGCAAATTTCAGAGCACAATTTCAATTTATTTGCTAAATTTATCATATTGGAAAAAAATAAAACATAAAATATTACAAGTGCCATATCTTTTGCACAGGCTAATATGTTGCAATAAGTTAAATTCAACAAATAAACAGAAATTGTGCATTAAAATGTGTTCTCTGTAAAGGATATGTACTTATTTTCACTTAGAAATTCAAGAAGTCATTTGACCAGGGGTGCCTAAACTTTTGCATATGACTGCACAAACAGCATGTGACTGCTAATTAACAAACACTGTACTTGCTAACTGGTAATAACCCCAGTGTTAAAGTCTATAATTGTGTCTTCTTCAATTAAAGTATGGGAATTTTGTTCATTTCACCAAGTGCTCATGATTATAAATACTTCAGCATTTGTAAGAACGCACACAATGTCTCAAACATCTCCTCTAATTTATGACCACACTGGAAAAACATCATTTTGTTGCACATCAATCAAATTTGTTACAGCAACACAGTCGCTGCCTTTCAGTTTCGGTTGTGTCGACATAAGACATTGCATTCAGTTATGCATTTGAATCAGGTAAGTGTCAAACGCCAACCAATTCAATGATTGACAGGTTTGATGGGAAGTTAGATAGCGTTGGATGCATAGTGTTGCACCTTGGTCACCTGATGCTAACTGAGCACTCTGACGCACTACATGTTTCTAATTCAGATGTCAATAGCACTCATCCGCGTCAGTACTGAGATCCTTTACTGAGCTCCACATCACACACACACACACACCCACACACACACACACACATACACACACACACACAGAGGAAAGCTGCAGGTTCTCTGACCGATCCATAGCCCAGAACACAAAGACATCAGCAGATGTCCTCCAATTACTGCAGTGACAAAATAGCTGCAACCCATAAATCAAAGCTTGCTCTCTAGGGTGTGAAATCAAATGCACTGCAAATGCACTGCTGCACAAAGGCACCATGTAGGTGTTCTTGGCAAAGTCATTTTCTCAAAAACTCACGTGCCTGCATTAAGCCTAGCCTTGAACTAAAATACAATTTTAATGGTGTTTTACCATTACAAACCAAAGCCAGTCCAGGTTTTACTCTTAAAATGGAATTCCACTGATTTTTAAAATTGTCTGCATAATTCAATTAATTGGATGCAAAAAGTCATTTGAAATAGTTTAGTGTGAAATGCTCCACTGAAGAGAAAGTTGCCAAGTCAGAATTGTTCACAGTGGCGCTCATAGGAACCAAAAGCTCTTTAAAAGCTTGTTCACGTATGCTGCCTGAAGTGTGAGGCACTGTTTTATGGAAACTTTGAGATAAAGTTTTGGCCTAAAATGCATTTTTTAGTGCATTTATGGTGGGGAGATACATGTATGTCATTGTAAGGCGAACTAGCACCCAGTTGATTGTACAATTTCACTTGTCATTTTTTATAGCAAAAAAATGGCTACATTCTCATTGCATCATCAGACATCATGACCCCTGGTTCCTATCACCACTACTCTAAAGACTCTAAAGAGTTGGTACATTTTTTCACAGTAATCCCATTCACATCAAACCACTCTGAATGACTTTGTTTACATTTTAACACCTGAATTATTTAGGAATTTGAACACTGAATGGAATTTCCTTTTAATATGTGCCTGGTGAACTGGCTCAAAGAGTTTTGTCTACTTTGTCTGTTACAAAACACAGACACAGGGACTCAGATGGGTCGGTTCTCATTTTAAATACCAGACATATGGCAAATATGCATATCTTTGAAAACTGTTTGCACAGAACAAAAGGAACCAAAAAAGCAGTCATGAGTTTTCAAAGCAAAAACTAACAAAAAATATAATTATTGATGAAGTAAGAGAAATTTTACCCTCTACTCCAATTTTGCCATCGCTGTCATCATCTGCAGCTGAAATTAAGCTTTTAGTCTCTTTCTCTGTTAGAGTCCGTGCCCCTGGGACAAACCGCTGCAGGAAGAACCTGATTCAAACAAGAGGAGAAATATACATTCATATTTATACAGTGTCGAATTTATACAGGACAACTCTGAATGTCATTGCTCGCCTTTGGCTCAAGTTCTGCTGACACAATTACATAATGCAGATAAACTGCACAATCAAAAAAGAGAAAAAAATTGCAGCATTCCTGCATTAGAAAAGGCTTAGAACAATGCTTTTTATAGTACATTAAAACCTATTGACAACAGAAGTAATGCTCCTTTACCACTAAAACACTGATTTGCTTTGGTATAATGTATTATAAATGCTTCTACTTAAGGTCTCTAAGCAACATTTTATTTAGACAGTACACTTTAGATGCTTTGTAGATACTTAATTTTTTTTACATTCAACTAAATATCTATTAAATTAATTTTTATTTTTCCTAACTCTTACTCTAACCCTGGTCCAAAACCTGGACCTACCCCTCACCTTGGTCCTCAGCCTAACCCTGTCGCTGTTGAGAATCAGCTGAGCTGCACCACATAGTTTGTTAGCAATTTTAATTTTTGTAGATAGTCTACAGGGGGGCTTCAGTATACGTTTAGTGAAACTGGTGTAATGAAAATAGTTGACACTGTCAAAAGTTGTCACTTTAAGCTTTAAGGGGAATTTCATCAATATTTCAAAATTTCTGCATAATTCAGTCAATGAGATAACAATGTCAAAATCATTCACTCCGGTTTGATGTAAAATGCGCCATTCTAGAGAAACTCACTAACTCAGATTTCTTTACAGTGGCAGTGATAGGAACCAGGAGTCCCATTGTGTACAGCACAAAAATAGCCATTTTATTTACTATACAAAACCACCAGTGAATCTACATGTGTCTTTTATTATATAGTTTTTATATGTAACATTGATGATGGTAAAATAACAGTCAATCTGAAAAAAAAAGTTTTCTTTGAGGACTTAGAGCACCCTTCATGTATCCCTCCACCATGAATGGATTAAAATAAATTGATTAAAATGTTTTATGTTTTACACCAAAACCTTATCACAAAGCTACAGTAAAACAATGTCTCAGACATCAGGCAGTGAATTCATAAGCATTTCATGTACTAACTTTCTCTGAGGAAACTTTTACAGGTGATAAACTTCACAGACGTCTGGTTCCTATTGCCACCACTGTGAAAAATTCTGACTCTTTAAGTTTCTATAGATAAGAGCATTTCACATCAAACCACCCTGAATGACTTTGTGTATGTCTTAACCATTGAATTATTCAGAAAAATTTTTGAAAAAAGTTGGTGGACACTTTGCACCTTCCTTTATGCTTTGTATGTGTAGAGGTTTGCACTCATGCGGTGTACATATAAATAAAATTGCATAAAAAGTTGACGCTTGCCTGTGTATAACTTTCAGTGTCCCCGTGACCGCCCACACAAACTGTAATATGTCACAATGTATTGCAATATGTTCAGTCTAGACCTGGAAATATGATGAAAACTTATTGTATTGTTACTCTCCTCTGTTTATATCAAAGAAAAAGCACATAACTTTTAAAAATGATCTGATGTGACGTACTTTAGCTCGGACTCTTCGATAAATCCGCTGTTGTCCTCATCTAAGATGCGGAACACATCCTTGACCTCTTGGGGAGTTTTCTGGGTCAGGCCACAGAGCTGGAAAAACTTCTTGTAACTGAAGGAGTCCGGGGCTGTCGGGAGGAGATGAGAGAGGCCAGTGATGCTACACACGCACACTCACAAATGAAAACAGTCGTGTGCAAAAGTTTAGGCGTCTGTGGTCAAATTACATGTTTTGTTGATTTTTAAGTGAAAATAAGTTAACACATCCTCTACAGAGAACACACTTATACACATTTTAATAAACAGGCACTGTTGTTTGCTGAGTTTAACATATTGGAAAAAAATAAAACATTAAACGTGGCCTGTGCAAATGTTATGGCACATTTTGTATTTTATGATTTTTTTTCAATATGTTAAACTCAGAAAAAGTGAATTGTGAACTACTGTTTGTAGCAAAATGTCATATTTAAGTTCCCTGTAGAGGAAGTTAGAAAATCAACAAAACATGTCATTTGACAGGGGATGTTATTTTGTAGACTGTACAGTGAAAACCTGGAGAGAATTCATATTTGTAGTATCTCTATATACTTCAAGTATGCCTCTTTTTCTCACAGGGGATCAAGCTAGGACAACGTGTTAACAGCATCAGAAGAAATTAGTGGTGCTAATAATTTATTGTGTTAACTTTGACAGCACAATACAATTGCCATATATTATTGTTGTATTAATACAATATATTGTTATTATGTTAATAAAACATATAACAATATACCTCTGAAACGGTAACTTTATGAAAAAAGGAAAAAGCTTTTCACAAAATGTAAAGGGTAGCTGGTCAGTTCAAATGGGGTAAAAATAAAAACTGAAAGAATAGAGGTTTTCATATGACAAGCAACAATATTTAACTTCTCAGGGGATTTCTGACATACAGCAGTTACTGACTGCAGCACCTCATGTGGCCCACAAACCACACAATGTCATGTGTCATTACGTGCACTTCATTATGACCCTTCTTGCTTAATTCATTTGAATTAGTCAAAAATAAATCCCTCCGTCTGCTCTGCTGTCTGTTTGTTCTTTGGCTTACCTTGGCAGTCCTTGACAGCATTCTCAATGGCTTCAGCAGAGAGGATATCAGTGAGTGACATGTTAGTCCTGTCAGAGGGGGAGAAATAAAGCATATCAAAAATGATTCACACAGATTATTTAACCCCTTAAATAGCCAAGACAACTGGTGGGTCTGAAGTTTTAGAACACACTTCTATAACCTGAGAATAACAGTTTGCTTTGTAGTCCCTGTAGTTACTGAATAATAAGCTTTAGTATGTAACAAGCCTGGGATTTTAAGGGGTTAAAGAATAACAAACAAATAAGTTACCATAAAAAAAACAACTCATAGTACTAAATGTAAAATAAATGAGCACTTCACAATGAATGGACCAATAGAAGCTGTTTAAACCTAATTTTACCTAGACCTGAATATATTACAATACATTCTATTTTCATTTTGGAATATATTTACAACATAGAGCACAATAATATATTTCATTTTCACAGTGGCTGCCCCTGAAAGATACTTCCATACATCCTCTCCTAACTTTGAAAGTTTCAAAAGATTGAAACACAATATGTGGCTTCAAATGAAACTATTAACCATACTCCTTTTATGCTGTGAATGATTTCTAACAGAATCACTAGCCTCTCTACTTCACAAAAATGCTCTGAGATGTGATGTCTTATACTTCAACAATGCATACATTTCATAAAATGTGGATCCAGAGTCTTTCTAAATAATCTTTGCATCACTAGTTTTAAAAAATTCTAAAACTAAAATGACAATTAACTGAATTTGCTTCAATGTGTGCATCATTTCTACATAAATGAAATACATTAGGTTAAGACAGCTATTGCCAAAAGTAAGTGAGCTAAAAACGTCACTGTGTTGATGAAATAGATTGGAAATGCTGTACACCTTTGAATCAAGTAAATTCAATACACCATATTGTTCAGTAGAGGATAAATCTCATTGAAATCAAGCTCAACATTTCACAGCTCTAAGAAAAGATTTCATATTCTTCTTTTCTACACACACAGACACATACATATACACTTCTGATAAGTAGCTCAGTCACTGCTGAAAGTAGAAAGTGCTACTCACGGCTGTAAAGTCCCCCGGTGGTCTGGCCGCAGCAGAAGTGAGTGTGAGCAGTGTGTGTAGTGTGCGCAGGTGAGCTTATATAGCCTTATATAGCCAGGCTGTGGCTGATGATAAAGTTACCTGGAGCTGGATCACATTCTTACCCGCAGCCTCTGCTTACACCCTTACCTCAGCAGCCTAATTAACCTGCAAAGTGGACATCCGCCCACACACACACAGCACAAGGAGAGAAAACAGAACACGCACACACACTCACTACTGTACTAATGCCACTCTCACTAACACACACACAAACACATGCACACACACATATATACACACACCGCTTTACTAAAGCTACTCTCACTAACACAAAGAGAAAACAGAACACACACACAAACACACACACACACACACACACACACACACACACACACATTACTTCACTAAAGCCACATAATCATGAACACACCTAAGTCTTTTCATTTGGCAAAACAGTGTAATTACACAGCAAAATGAAGTACTGCATTATTTTCACAATACAGTTTATCTCAATTGTTAAAACAGTTTTAGCATAACTGGGGTCACTTTCTTAGCAAAGCAGAAGTGTTGTTTTGCAAATGTGTTAACATATGTTTAATGCTTTCAGTCATTTTCACATACTTTTTCAAAACTCAATCAGTTGTCTTCAGTTGCTGACTAAAAGCATGGATAAAAGAGACTGTAGATGAGTACTTATCAGACGAGGAATAGGTAACAAGTTAAACTGCCTCTAAACTCCCTCTATTCATCTCTTCTTACCACTGCTGTTCTCTGAACTTCTTTCAGTATTTTGTTTGTTGTGTTTGGAAAAATGACATATACATACTATGATGTGTAGGAAAACAAATGGAATGATGCTTTAGGTTTTGGTTTATGTATTAAGACATTAAATATCTGTATACATGTTTTAAAACTATGGATGCTTCGGTTGGAGAGTTTTCTGTGGAGTGTTCAGTGAAAATGATGCATATAATTTACAATTTGTGTGAAATCAATAAAACTGTTCATTGAGTTCTGAAAAATTATGAAGGGATTAAAATGCTGTGCTGGATGGATGTAGCAGAATGTTCACACAGAAAGTTTCATGCTTGATTACTGATAATAAGAAGATAAGATGACGTCCAAACACACACACACGTGCTGGTACACTGACTTAAATATTTCAAATATTTCAACATAAATGATTGACAAGCACTCATACAAACACCAAACTTATGCAAAGATACACACAATAAACCTATATACTGCTTGTTAGGGTGTAGGCATTTCACAAAGTAAGATCTTAGATGCTTAGAAACTACATGTTGATTTGTGTATAATCACACACTTTCATGCCACAATCAAACGCTCCAGTCAAAACCATGTTTCCTTCCATCTAAATCAACCTTCTCTCTTAGATGGCACACAGAAACCATAATTACATAGATGCTACTAAGTGCTGTTACTCACTGCTCATATTAGTTCAAAACACTGCTCTAAAAACCGTAAGACATTAGAAACAATGAGCAAAGAGCTAAGAGCTATGTGCTGCTAAGATTCATAACAGCTTGTGCATTTTGATCATGCTACTGAAATTACAACTGTTAACAAGCATTTTCAGTACCAAGTTCACCTCACAGGTTCAAAAATCAGGGATGTACACTCTGATTCATTCTATGAGAATTCATGAACTGATATCTGGTTAAGCGCAGGGAGAGAAAACCAATAATAATAATTAAAAAGTATTCTAAAAATAAGATAGGTCTGGTCAGGGATGTAGGAAGGGGGGTGACGAGTGCTGAGGGTGTGGAAGATTTTAGGACAGTTTAACTGCAACTGCTAAAAATGATATATAAAAAGTGTGAATGTAGTAAAGATGTGTGCTTGTTTTAGAGTGGAGTTCATGTTTGTTCATATATGTTTAAAACTGCAAACCTGCATGCTGGTCTAAGCTGGTCATCCAGCATGGTCACAGTGGTGGACCAGCATACCAGCATCCAAAACATATACGTTATTTTTTTATTAACCGTTGTATCTCCTGTCTGGTGTGCATTAGTGTTGAATTTAGAGTGTGGTTGTGTGCTTGATACAATCAGTATCTGCATCAGAGAATGTGTAGTGAAGAGAACTGCCACTCTGTAATGTCTTACAGGTTTGGCAAAGGCGAGTCCAAAATGAATGGGTCAAAGCGTTTGAGCAAAATCCTAGATTTTTAAATGCTTAAACATTTTTATACAGACAAAAATGCATTTGTTGCCTGAACACAGAACAGCATAAAACATTTTAACACCGTTGTTATATTTTCGAACGCTCTTTAACTCAAACTATAGGACTTGACGTTCATGATGTCAGTTGGTCAATCAGCCAATAAGCTGCACCCCTTGCCAACCAATCAGCACTTATTAACAGTGATGCCAACTAATCAGCACTGAGTAGTAGTAATGCTAGCATTCTTCTGCCCAAAGCCTGTTTGATGTAGAAAAAGTGAAATATACAAGTAAGTTCTCTTTGCTTTTGAGTAAAATACATCAATGTGTTCTGGACAAGACAGTAACTTTTAACTATTAACCTTTCAGTTTCATTTACCTCATTCATTTAGGACTCATGGGTGCCCTCTGGTGTTTTGCAGTCATGTTTTTGATTTAACAAGAGAAATAGGAAGAGGCCAGTGAAATGGTAGAGTTCCGTGCTGGATGTATAAGGGAGACAATGAGCTAACAGAGCTAAGCTTATCTGGTGTTGCATACTGATGAAAACGTGTTATTTTCTACACAAGGGACTTTCTCCTCAGTGGACAATGTGCCAACATGTTTTTATTGTCAGCAAAATGATTTTTTCTGGAGTAGCTAGTTGGTGATCTAGTCATGCTATATTTCTCACTTCTTAAATGTATCCTTTGCAATGCGCTCACCAGGTACTATCGCTTGGGGTTTATGCATGGGGGGGCTATGATTATTTATACATATATATATATATATATATATATATATATATATATAGCTTTAGAATATACACATATATATTTTCACTGACAGTAACTTGTGGCAAATACTGGTGTTCTACAGAAGAAAAATCTAAAAACATAGATCAGAAAGAGCTCATAGATTATAAAAAAGTTTCTTCAAATTCTTAAACTAGTTGGCTTGTCAGCGATCTCCTTTTCTTTGCCTCACTGAAACCAAAAGTTAGTTGGCTAGCTAACAAGCAACTGGGTAAAAACCCACCAGTGAGCTATACTGGCTTTTAGGTGAGTTTCACACTGTAACTTGTTATTGTTCCAGTCTGTACACTGTAGATTTTGAATAAGGTCTAATATTTATTTTAATGAGCTTTTAGCCAAAATCCTGTCTTCAGCTTCTGCGTTTGCTGACCCAGCCTTACTTTGCAGAGCACGTAAAATCAGAGACCCTCCCCGCCAAGGTCTGATATGATTGACTACTACAACTTACGGGGTCTGACGTGATTGCCTTACAACTAATGAGATGTGGTAGCACAGCATAGACAGGTTGCACCCTGCTACCACAGCATAATGTGAATTTGGAGATGCGATAGCACTGTTTAGCAACTCCTGTTCAGACACTGGTGTTTCAGAGTAGAAAAGTTTACTGAACATGCCAACGTGCAGAATTGGTGTATTTCACTGAATTATTGTCCTGTACATTTTCGCCGTCTACTCGTGGTAAAACATAATGAATACCGGAATCTGTTGATGCTTTACTGTGAAGTTCTAGTTAGAAGTCATAGAATATCGCACTGCAAAATCAATTGTTTCTTTATTCTTTAGTTTAACCAGAGATACAACAATGCATTTTGAAATACAGCTTGTACTGTACTCACCAAAAAGTATAAAACTGATCAAATCTGTAAAAGACACTGTGCTGTGACAACAAAGGGACAAATCATCTCTTGTGGTAATGCTAATCTTTCATATAACTCATGAAGACACCCGATGAGGTAGTCTGCACTATAATGACTAAAGGTTGCTAAATGGGAAAGGAAGCCATAATTGGACACAGAGATGTAGGCAGCCCTCTGACCAAAGGTTCCAACAGTACTGTACTGAATTACAGACTTGCCTACTGTGGGCAATGGGTGGATCTCTGTGCCATGACTGATGACATGTTCTTTCACTGTTACTCAATTTCGGTGGAATCTTATGCCAGGCCCTTATGCTCCAGCCCAACTGTCATGGCCTACCATGTCCTGACTTGAGCCCAGCCTCCTTCATTCATGCTTGCAGGCAGCAGCTGATGTCTTTTTGATGAAAGAGAAACAACTGATTGCTTATTTAATGAGGCTTTGATCAGACGGGCAGCTCAAATCCTTTTTTTCAGCATATCTGATTTGAGAGGGAAAGATTTTCTGCAGTATGAATGGCAAATAGCCACTTGAAAAAAGCTTTAATATGTATTTATAGTGTATTTACTTCAAATTATGTTCATGGAAAATAAATATTAAAGTTCCTTGTTATTGTACACATGAAAAAAAATGCATTTGTACATCAATGCGTTGATCTGGAGTTGATGATTCAATTGTATTGATTTTGGAATGTTATGACGGATTACAATATTGTGCACTCTTTGTTTTGCACCTAAATAAACTTTTAAGGGTATTTTCAAGTACATCTATTGTCTATATTCCTGTGGTATTGTATGTGTATTTTTTAATTGAATGGAATTGAATGGAAGGGAATTGAATTGAATTACATTTAATTAAATTTAATCATGTTTACAAAATTGGCTGTTTTTCAAGGTGCACCCTACCACACTAAATGCTATGTAAAAAAGGAGACCATTGGTAGCGCCTTCACTAGTATGGCAGTGTATGGTTTTGGAAGGAGTCTTCTAAGTGCATTGAATCATTTTGTAAAGAATCAAATTGAATCACTGAGCTAAATCAAATTTAAAAGACATTTATAATTGTGAACTACATGGCCTAGAAAAGGCGTGATTGTGCTGTTTTCAGTGCAGTTTCAGGGTCAGTTTCAGGATCAGAACTGCACAAACTATAGAAGTACATTAAAGCTACCTCAATCTAAACCCTAA